CTAGCTGGAAAAGAGACGTATAGTAAGATGTGCATAATTGCCACAATCGTCCTATCCAACTAGACAACTAACATATTGGATGATACGCTTGTTGTTTCGTGGCTCGTGCATACAAAACTTATGCCCGTAAATACATATGCACACGTAACTGACCACACCCTGTGATCAATACGGGAGATACAGATTCACATAGCTGGCAAGACGTTTGTGCGATGGTAACTGGTATACCTAATGTTGTGACGCTGTCGTGGATCCTCACGCTGCACGCAAGTGCCTGGTTCCGTAAAAAGTTTGCCGGCCTTTTAACCCTCGCACTTGTAGAGCGGGGGAAGGGTCGTATGGAGTACCTATGGACCCCTCGGTTTTTCGAGAATAACTCGCGCAAAAAGCGGCCGATCGCAACAAAACTTAACATACCCTTGAGTTTAGAAATTGTACACCTACTCAAAACAATTTGAGGACATTGACCCAAATGACCTTTGAGCTGTGACTTATTTCTCAAGACCGTGTTTGGCCGAAATCGCGATTCGGCGTATATCAACTCACATTATCCGCGCGTTTCCAGTCTTCCAGGGGAGGGGGGGGGGGGTGTTTAAGGTCAAACGAGTTCCTTCAAACAGGGGTAAATTTTGGCACAGGAGGGCCTGGCCGCCTGCTTTGTTTTTACATACCGAAGTTGGCGGCCAATTTTCTTATTTCTTTCACTTTATGATAGCAAATACATTCTAAAGTACATATTGAGAAAATCTAGTTAATACAACCATAAAATGGCAGTTAGAACTGTGCTAAGAGTAAGACGTGTTCCGGTTACGGCGGGATCAGCCGAGGCGGAAAGTTTCAGCCGCAATTTTGTGCATAGGTAAACCCTCGTAACTCAAAATTTTACCGGCCGATTTTCGTATTTCTTTGACCATTAAATTGCCAGTACCTACATTTGCAAGGCTCCACTGGGGTTTAGACGCTCAGCGGTTACAGCACATTGCAAAGACGGAAATGTCCGGCGCCGGCTCAGTCTATAATTTAGGTGGCTAATAACGGCCAAGGCCTTATATTAGGATAATCATTTGCGTTGAAGCTTCAGCTTTTGTCAATGCATGGCAAAACAATTGTTTCGGTACCTACTAGCTTAATTTTCAAAACATTTATAGTATTTGTTTTACGCTGGCATGTTTTATTCAAAGGGGACACAGTCTCAAAGTCGGTACATAGGTATGCCTAATCATCTAAGTCATTACGTAAAACATGGTAAATATTCAATTAATAAGCGTTTTTGCAAGTCCCTCAGAAATCAGCCCCGGGCAGCGACGGACTGCCGGCCGGCCGACCGGCCCCGGGTGGCTGGAAGCAGGGGCCAGTCCGGATGTGTAGGAGCGGGAGCAGCACTCTTTTTCACGTATATTCGCGTATTTATTTAGGCACATCGACATGCAATGTCATTATATCTGATACGATGCGAGATCACAGACCAGAGATCCAGCTTATAACTTATAATGTTTAACCGATGAATCAAATCAAAAGGACTATGTACGATGTACGTCAGACACGTACCCAGGATTTCGCCCAAGAAGGGGTCACCCGCTCTTGAAGGGGCCCGCGAGTCATCCGGGCGCCCGGGGTCAGCCCAAGCAAGGACGTATCCAGGACCTTTCGATGGGAAGGGGGGAGGGGGCATGGTGGGTCTAGTCCCACTGGCAGACGGGCCTCTTTAAAACGGTCTTTGCCCTGAGAAAATGTGGAAATTGGCAAGTAAAGGTATCATTTATGCCCGAGGAGTGTCCCTAATGTACACTCATGTCTAATGTGCATAGTATTTTACGAGCGAGAGAAGCGAGCGAGCTCCTCTGGGTCACCGTCCTCAGAGTCACCGGTGTGTGGCGCGCTCAGACGTGCCAGTGAAAGGCCGTCAGATGCGTTGGTGTTGGGTCCTCACAGGCGCCGTTGCGGGGTCTCAGGGCTTAGAGACACTGGTGGGGCCATCATTGGCATGTGTGTGGCCGTGTAAAGTGGCCTGCAAGTGGAAAGTGGCAGTTCATAGGCTGGCAAAGACACTCAGAGGGTGGTAAGAGGCCCTCAGAGGCACTGGTACGTGGCCCCCTCAGAGCCGCCGATGTAGGCCCTGGTGATGCGCTGGTGTGGGTCCCTTGGAGGTGGCGTGAGGAGCTTCGCAGGTGCCGTTGTGGTGGCTTTTAGAAACATTGTTGTGGGCCGTGGGGCTATCACAGATGGATGTGGAGCCATTGCAGCTGATCCCTCATTGGCCGTTACAAGGGCCATCAGAGGCCGGCAAGGTCTCTCATAAACCGGCATTGGGCCTTTATGGAGATAAGTAAGTGAGGCAACATAGGAGCCAATTACGTGCTCTCACAAGTCCTGTGGTGTTTTTCCGAGTTGAAGCACGGCTAGCACGAACCATCTGCCACCAACTGGCGCCGCAGGGTCCCTCGGGTTCGAAGGAACTCTAAACCCGAGAACGGGCACGTATCCGGTCCCTCGCTTCCTGGCTATACCACTGAATCCAAGTGATCAGGAACCCTTCAGGTAATCAGGGGCCTCTCAGATGACCAGGGGTTTTCAATTGATCAGGGGCCCACCAGGTGACCAGGGGAACCTCTGGTACCCAGGGGCCCCTCAAGTAACCAGGGACCCCTTAAATAACTAGGGCCCCCTCAGTAAACGGAGGCCTCTTAGGTAACTGTAGGAGTCCCTCAGATAACCAGGGGCCGGCAAGGTCTCTCAGGTCCGTTTTTGACAAGGCTGTTATTGACGTCAGGTGCGAGCCCTTTGCCACCAGCAGAGGGCCCTTTTAAGCCTTTTTACTTTTGAGGGCCGTTTAAGGTCTCTTGAGGGCCGTTTGACGTCTCTGAGTTCCCTTTGAAGCCTTCTAAGGGCCCTTTGAGCAGCCGAGGGGCCTTTGAAGCCTTTTGAGGGCCTCTTGACGTCAGCTGAGGACCGTTTGGGGCCTTTTGATGGCCATTAGACGCCAATTGAGGGCCCGCTGACACAAACTGGGGGCCCTCTGACACCAGCTAAGGGCTCTTTAAGTTTGACGCGAGCTCAGGGCCCTCTGACAACAGCTGGAGCCCTCTGATGCTAGCTCAGGGCCCTTTGACGCCCTTTAAGGCCTTTTGAGGGCCCCTTGAGGCCTTCTAAGGACCTCTTGAGGCTTTTTGAGGGCCGCTTGACGCCAGCTGAGGACCGTTGGACTCCAGCTGACGACCGTTTGAGGCCTTCTGATGGCCATTTGGCGCCAGCTGAGGGCCCTCTGACATCAGCTAAGGACCCTTTAAGGCCTTCGGAGAGCCGTTTGACGCGAGCTCAGGGCCCTCTGACGCCATCTCAGGGCCCTTTGACGCCCTTGAAGGCCTTCTGAGGTCCGTTTGACGTTAGTGAGGGCCCTTTGAGACCATTTGAAAGGCCTTTGAGGTCATCTGGGGCCCTTTGAGGCCATCTGAGCAGTGTCCTAAAATTTGTTGATTTGGGTGGGAAACGACACCCAAATGATGACAATTTTCCACTCTCATTTCAAATCTTTGAGAGCAATTTTCCACTCCCAACCTTACAAACAAGGAGTATCTGCGTGCATGGTCGTAAACATCATATTGATACATGTAATGCAAGCTATACATTCTATCACGTGTGTGGAGACGCGTGCTTTCAATCCGTTTTCCCTTCATTCTTACCACTCCCACCTGTTTTTTAGCTTTACCTGACCGGCAATTTTCCACTCTCATCTCCCTGGTAACTGAATAATTCACCCCTCTGACACTCAAAGCAAAATATAATTCTGGGACACTGCATCTGAGGGCCCATTGACACCATCTGAGGGCCCTTTGACACCAGATGAGGCCCTTTGACGCTAATTGAGGACCTGAGGGCCCTTTGACACCAGATGAGGGCCATTTGACGCTAACTGATGGCCCTAGAGACCATCCGAGGACCCTGTCACGCCATCCGAGGGCCCTTTGAGGCCTTTTGAGGGCCATTGCAATTTCACAATAATCCTGGCTGCGCTACTGGGCATTTTATGGACTCATATGAGACTGCTGGGGAACGAGATGGGCCCTCCCGGTCTTTTCAAACTTTATTTCATCTCATTTTTACACGGTCTTCGGCGGTCTATTGATTAGGGGCCCCCGACTCGAATGGAATGGGGGGGGGGCACGGGCCCGTGTGCCCCCCCCCTTGTGTGCGCCCTTGGGAGTGAAAACATGAGAATGATAAAGAAATGTTATCATCTCATTGTCCTCATTGGAATCCATTGATACAAGAACAGAGAACTTGAATTCGCAGATGATATTGGTTATGAGTTACGAGCCTTTCCTTTTTCACGGCAGATTCACTCATCGAAAAAAGAATCACGTGTTTCACTACGATACCTCCGCTCAGGAGAAGCGGTCAAAAACGCATATCTGCAAAGTTCGTCGAATGAACATAATTGAGAATCGCTCCACCACGACAAAAACGCACATCTACGTTGCTCGTTCACTGTTTACCAAGCCAAAAACGCGTATCTACACAGATATGCGTTTTTGTCTTGGAATGCCAAGACATTAGTGCACATGGAGACCAACAATACGCATATCTGCAACAGATATGCGTTTTTGTTTTGGAAGGAGGATTATTTAATCCAGACGATTGCCAGCAGGGAGTAGATATGTAAAAGTTATGTGTTTTTGCCTCTGTGGATGCCTGCCTAATTGTGTTGTGTGTGCTTTTTCCAAACTTATATATGAAATATTTAGTTATTAAATGACGTATAGACTTTAATATTGATATGAGCATGTGTAGCTCATAGAGAGGAATCGAATGGTATAAAAAACCAAATTTTGCCAAAATTGTTAGTTATGCGTTTTTGACTTTGCACGGCAGTGAGATAGAGCATACAAACACATGACCCAACAACCCTCAGTAGCAGGGAACTTAGATGCTCTTTTCTAATAAATCTTGTTCAAAAAAGAGCGTGAACAGCCATTTCACTCTCATACGTGCGGCTCGCTCACCTGACCGGCTCCGTGAGGTGTGTGAAGGACGGTCCGACAATGAACGTGTCGACCTTGACCAGCGAGAGGCAGGCGCAGGGCGTGAACTCGGCCTGGCCCGGGTCCAGGTCGAGCACGTACACGTGCCGCCGCGTGTTCAGCAGCAGGTTCAGCACGTGGTACATCCACGACGACTTGCCGACGCCCTTGCCACCGGCAAACACCACACGCAGACGCTCTGTGAAACAATCAGGGTAAATAACAGAGAACAGACACTACAGAGAGGTCAATAGTGATAATAATCTTATGCAAATCAGTTATTATGCCGAATTGAAGCAGAAAGGTAGTCAATAACAGTCTCTCTCCTAACTCCAAACTTCAGTGATAAAAAAGTAATCTAAAATCATCATCACGTCTAACACACGATCATACACTAGCGCATGACCTGTTACTTATCGGCACCAATATGCTAGTTCAAATAAGCACCTGTTCGTTTTTTGGTCTTTCCTTGCCAATCAGCAGCGCCAAATTAAACAGATGTTCTCCCTAGCAGCCACTGCCACTTCCCCCTCTGCCGTCGCAGCCGACCAGCTCACCTTTGCCGGTCGAGCGGACCTCGAGCTGCCGCAGCTGTGCCTCCCACTCAGCGCTGGTCGCGAACGTGTTCAGACCCAGCTGGTGCAGCTCGTCGGCGGCGCGCAGCAGCCGGCAGCCGACGCGCGACATCACCGCGTCCTGGCTGTCCGGGCGCGGCGTGAACGTGTCGCCGAGCTTCGCGGCCAGCAGCGACAGCAGGTGGCTGGGCAGCCGGCGCAGCAGCAGCGCCGTGCCCCCGGTGCGCTCCAGCGCTGCCGCCGCCTCCGCCGGCAGCGCGGGCACGCCGGCTGGCGCCGTGTTATCAGCGGCGCAGTCCTCGGCCGACAGCAGCGGAGGGAGCGCCTTCACGCGCAGCGCGAACACGGGCAGGAACTGGGCGCGCGCGGGCGTCAGCAGTGCCCCGTGCACCCGGAGCGCGCCACGCAGCACGCGCACCTGGAACGCGCCCCAGAGCAGCAGGCAGAAGTCGGGAGTGGTGGTGACCAGCACTGTGCGCTCATCCACCGGGACAACCTCGTCCACACCGAACGGCACCGGCTCCGAGGCGTTACCCGGCGGCGGCGGACCACGCCGGCCCGCGCGGGAGGCACGGGCGATCGGAGGGGAAGGGGCTGGGGCAGCAGCTGGGGGCGCCGCCGTGGTCGGCAGGACGACGCAGTCGTCATCGTCACTGAACGTGCAGTCGTCGATGATGACGTCCTCGCCAGTGTCGGACGACGGCGACACGGCCTTGGCCAGAGGTGGATGTGGCTGAGTGTCAGCAGCCGCTGTGCTGGTGTCGTCATTGCTGGAGCTGGACATGTCATCTTGGGCCACTGCTTCACTGGCTGAACACTTTGCAGGGCTTACATTGCCAAATGAGGATGTTCTGAGTCTCTTCCTTTGTTTGCTTTTTGAATTATTCATGATGTTGCCATGTTCAGATATAATGTTAGGCACAACACTTTCTGGCAAGGTTGGTCCAGGATTTGTAAGGAGCACATTTTCTGATAGCCATGGATCACTGGCACTGGATTTGTCTTCAGATTGTTCAGGACTAGCTGAACCTTCTAGCCATGTAGGAATACTCGAGTCATTGAACACTATTTTTGACTCCTTTGGTTTTGCCATGACATTGGAATTGGAAGTCATAATCATGCAAAATGTTGCAGATGCAAGATTAATGCAAAAAAGCTTTTGTCTTCTCACTTTTTCTCTAGTTGCAAATGAAAGGCTTATCTTCGACTCATTTACCAGTCTTCACAAGCCAGAAGAGTACCAAATTGTTGTGCCTAAAACATGGATACACCTGCAAGAATCATAATTCATTCAAGAATGGCAACAAAGATAGGTAAAATACTTACTACATCCTCATGAATCATGACACACATTCCCTTGACAAAGCACCACAACCAAAACTTTAAACCATTGAACTCAAACAATCATCTGTTATAAAATTAAGTCCACCCAATAGAAAGACAAATCTTCATCTACAATAAGCATGACTGTTTTCTACCAGCATAAATAAATAATCATAGCATACTTGGCCCAACCTAGTCTAACACGTCATAGCCTTAGAGTGACTCAATAAATAGGTACCAAACTTTTACTTCAAATCCAGCAGCATCTCAAACTTGTAACAAAACTTTACCTGCATACCAGGGCAGCATGAGCAGCAACATCACATTATTCCCAGGACTGAGGGTGTCTGACCCAAAAACGCAACACATTATACCTTGGGATTTGAATTCAGGATGTCAAATAATGTAAAAATATGAAAAATTCACCAATGAAATCTGCTTAGGACTTTATCTTTGACATTTACCAGAGGCACTACAGAAGTGAATTATTTGGGGGTCCACCCCAGACCTCCCTGGTAGCAGAGCCCCTGTGTACATGGGTAAATATTGAATAAATACTTCAACCTCAAACCTGTAAGTGTTTTGAAACCATCTCAACCTCAACCCGTACACCAGTATAAACCGAACCCCATCCACTGCACATACTGCTTTTAAAGGGACCCTCCCACCTTCAAAAAAGTTAATGAATTGGCATGAAAGTGATGTCGCTCGGTTCAGAAAGAGCAAAAACGAATATCTACCAAATTTCATCGAAAAATATTCACCGGTTTTCAAGATATTAGACTTTTACTTTTGTTTACTTTTTAGGATCTTGTGTGTTATCCATGACAGATATATATAAAAAACGACAATATATTCAAATACACAATTAAAAAACAGAGCTTTCGGTAACAAATACCTTGATCACTGTGTGTATGTTAAAATGAAGGAATATTTTCAAATATTTCAAAAGGCAAATTGACTTCATCGCACGGGATACAGTTCAGGGACTACCTATAACTAGACGAACAGCACCAGACGCTAAAGGAATGAACCCACTCCTAGTATTAAATGTTTCGCGTGAGATAATATGAGCGGCTTCGATGATTTTGCGTTTTCGTTTTGTCATGTTCTTTCCTAAGATATGCGTCCCATCCCAGTCAGGCAGATGGTCACACTTTTCAATGTGAAGTACGATCGCATTCGATGTGCGATGGAACCTGACGTCATTCTTGTGCTCCTTTACCCTTACATCTACCCCCCTCCCCGTTTCCCCGACGTAACTTTGTCCACACCCCTTACATGGAATTTCATACACAACACTTTTCGCATTCGCTTCGGAACCATGTTTCGTTTTACGTCGTTCGATCAGTTCGCCTATCTTCTTTCCAGAACTGATCGCCACGTTCACACCTCCCTTCTGTAGAGTTCGTGATATTTCGTTGGCTTCTTTCGAGTTCGGAATCGTTATCCATCTTTTCGACTTTGGCCTCGCTTCCCTCTGAGACCTGTTTCTTATCTTCTTGGCCGTTTCTTTTTGTTTGATCAAAAATCCTTTTGGGTACTTGAGCCTCATAAACGAAGAGTAGATATGCTCGATCTCATCTTGTAAATATTCGTCGTCGCATACACGAAAAGCACGCAAAAAGAACCCAATCACTATTCCACTTTTTACTTTCTCACTGTGACCTGAGTAGAAATGGACATAGTCTTCTTTGCTGGTTGGTTTCCGGAACACTTTGAATTTGAAACGGCTCTCGCTTTTGATGATGCATGTATCGAGGAAATGCAGTTCATCGTTTTCTTCCTTCTCTATAGTAAATTGTATCTTTTCGTGGACCTCATTCAAATCTTGTAACTTATCTTCTAAATTCATGTTCTTCGGTACTACTACGAGGACGTCATCAACATAACGTATCCAGGTCGAGTCACTTCCGATAATGTTGCTATATTTTGACTTTTCTAGCTTTTCCATAAATAGACAGGCAGCCACCGGACTGAGAGGTGACCCCATCGCCAGTCCACTCTTTTGAAGGTATTCGATACCATCAAATGTAAATGATCCGAAGTGCATACACATGGACACCAGCTTTAGATAATCGTTTTTCGGTAGCGGCAGAGCGTTTTCATCCATTTCATCGACGACTTCTTTTATTGCTTCTAGTGCTTCATCGACCGGAACATTTGTGAAAAGTGACCGAACATCGAAACTTGCTAGCTTTTTGTCGTCAACTTGTCGTACTTCTTTTAACGTTTCCATCATTTCCGCAGTGTTTTTGATGTGCGCTCCACTGATAGACCCCAAAGCATTGGTCAATGGCTTTGCCAATATTTTTGCTAGCTTGTGTGGAGCACTTCCTATCCCGGATGTGATTGGGCGCATAGGAGTACCACTTTTGTGTACCTTAGGAAGACCCCTCATTTTTGGAGCGGTGGGTGCTTCCTCTAAGGCATGCTGTAACTTCTTTCCCCGTTCGGACCGTTTCAGGATTTTTCTTGCTTCTTTGTTGAACACTTTGTTTTCTTTGTCATTGAAACCAGACCCTTTCTTTTCGTACGTATCTTTATCGCTCAGCAAATCTTGCATCTTCTGAATGTACTGTGCTCTATCCATGATCACTATTCCACCGCCCTTATCGGCTTGGGTTACTATGATACCACTATCGTTGGCCAAATCCCGCAGCGCCTTTAAATATCTTCTAGGTAGGCTACCCGGTTGTTTATCTGACAAAGCTTTACAGCACGTCAAAATCCCTTGGATGTATCCCTTCTCGACGTCGCTATCATTCCATCTGTAATTCCTTTCCACATGATCCGCAAACGAATACTTATCTCTTCCGGAATCAAACTTGAGTCCAAGAGCTAAGGCTTCGGATTCGTAGTCGTTTAGCGTTCGCGATGATAAGTTCATAACAATGTCGACGTTACCTGCCTCTTTCCATGGGCTGTTTTTGCACAGGTCTTCAAGTTTTCGTTTTAATCGTGTTCGTTGTTCGTTGTTTAGTTTGTTCAGTTTTTCTTCTTCCTGACGTTCCAATCGAAGTCCACTTCGTTCTTCATTTAGCACATATATATTGTCCTGTAATACTTGACACGCCTCTTGTAAGTAGCATCTGGCAGTATCGCCGAAAGGGTGATCACTGTTCTTTAAGCTAGATGGGGCTGATTGAAGAACATGAATTTAGAAGATAAGTTACAAGATTTGAATGAGGTCCACGAAAAGATACAATTTACTATAGAGAAGGAAGAAAACGATGAACTGCATTTCCTCGATACATGCATCATCAAAAGCGAGAGCCGTTTCAAATTCAAAGTGTTCCGGAAACCAACCAGCAAAGAAGACTATGTCCATTTCTACTCAGGTCACAGTGAGAAAGTAAAAAGTGGAATAGTGATTGGGTTCTTTTTGCGTGCTTTTCGTGTATGCGACGACGAATATTTACAAGATGAGATCGAGCATATCTACTCTTCGTTTATGAGGCTCAAGTACCCAAAAGGATTTTTGATCAAACAAAAAGAAACGGCCAAGAAGATAAGAAACAGGTCTCAGAGGGAAGCGAGGCCAAAGTCGAAAAGATGGATAACGATTCCGAACTCGAAAGAAGCCAACGAAATATCACGAACTCTACAGAAGGGAGGTGTGAACGTGGCGATCAGTTCTGGAAAGAAGATAGGCGAACTGATCGAACGACGTAAAACGAAACATGGTTCCGAAGCGAATGCGAAAAGTGTTGTGTATGAAATTCCATGTAAGGGGTGTGGACAAAGTTACGTCGGGGAAACGGGGAGGGGGGTAGATGTAAGGGTAAAGGAGCACAAGAATGACGTCAGGTTCCATCGCACATCGAATGCGATCGTACTTCACATTGAAAAGTGTGACCATCTGCCTGACTGGGATGGGACGCATATCTTAGGAAAGAACATGACAAAACGAAAACGCAAAATCATCGAAGCCGCTCATATTATCTCACGCGAAACATTTAATACTAGGAGTGGGTTCATTCCTTTAGCGTCTGGTGCTGTTCGTCTAGTTATAGGTAGTCCCTGAACTGTATCCCGTGCGATGAAGTCAATTTGCCTTTTGAAATATTTGAAAATATTCCTTCATTTTAACATACACACAGTGATCAAGGTATTTGTTACCGAAAGCTCTGTTTTTTAATTGTGTATTTGAATATATTGTCGTTTTTTATATTTTTAGGATCTCCGCTGTTCCTAGCGACTTTATTTGAAAGTACGGCATTTGTTGCGCGCAAAGCAGCATATGCCACCGCGTGCTACAAAACGTTTTAGTCAAACATTAAAAATCGTTAGATATCTGCGATGACGTCACACATTCAGAGGGGTATTCCTATGCATTAGTCCCTCTGAATCAAAATGTTGCAATTTTGAAATTCAATATTTCCGATTTAAGGCATTTCTCGATGTTGTGAGTGCCGAAACCGGTAATTGTGAGCCAGGGACCCCATTTTGGCTATCTCAACTCAAATCAGTTGGGCAAACTAGACCTTTGGAATCAAAATATGGAGGCATCAATAATTTGATTCTGGTGGGAGGAGCCATGACCAAATATGGGCATGGAATCAATTTTTTGATTCATTTGGGTACACTTTTGACTTCAAATGAATCGTTACGGTTGAAAAAAGGCCCATGACGGTGAGATTTTTCTCTTAAAAGGTAGAAAAATGTGGTAGGTTTGCAAAAAGTGTTACCTCAAAGCTAAGAAATTGTCCCTTTGGCCTTGTGAATGGGAAAAAGACAGAGCCACTGTCCATCACATAAAAGCTGTTTTGAGGAAATCACACTGTATGTTATTTTTGTATCATGAATCACATACTAACCAATCAGTATTTGTGTAAAATGGCAAAATGAAATTTTTAAACCCCTAATTATCATTGTTGTAGTGCTTTTATATTATTTATATGGTGTTTACCTGTTGCTTCAGTTTTTGTATTCTTGACATTTAAAAATTGTGAATTGTTATCAAATGTAGTGAAGGTAAAGTACAACAATGCTTTAGGTATCAGTTGTGGTGCTGAGGATACCACTAAATGAGATTAATAGCAAGATAAATGCTGTATTCTTGCAAGTCATTGTTCCCTATCTGTTAACATTACCTGTGAATCAAAATAATGATTAGCCAGCTGATGGGGAATCAATATTATGATTATCTGTTTAAAGTGAATCAATTCCTTGATTGCCTTTCACTACCTATGGAATTCAAATTGTTATGATAGGAACATTATTATTTTGCTTAGGAGATAGTTCAAGCATTTCTGTTCAAGATCAGGCATGCTCCTTCATGAAACACTCTCTTATTTTAATGTGATTGGTAAGTTAGAAATGGTCTGCATTTATGCCCAAAAGGAATCAATCTTTTGATGCCTCCATATTTTGATTCCAAAGGTCTAGTTTGCCCAACTGAAATCTAATGTTAAGGTGGGAGGGTCCCTTTAACACTTTCAAAAGAATCAAGACGCTAAAGCACATCAATGCTGATGTTACAAATGTAACAAGGGCCTCTTCCCTCGCAAAAAGGCAAAACTTGAAATAAAAAGTAAACACTAACTTATACGACAAAAAAATCTCGAACCACACAACTAGCCTTGCACACAACACAAACACACAGCCCTGTCCCAAAGCGTGCGTGAAAAGTTTGTCTTTAGCTCTCCACGTCTGTCTTTCTCATTTGCTACCAAATTGAAGTGAAGGGAAAAATTAATAATTCCACCTTCATAGCCCATCGCACAAGCACTTCCTCACGATAAAAAAACACACCAGATTCTCTCATCCGTATGTGTTTAAACTGGAAACGTGGCGGAAGGTTCCAAGCGTCACTTCTTCACTGTGGAATACCTTATTTCACAATTACTTCATCTTTTATTCCGATTAGAATGCGGAGGATTTCGGTATCAGCCCCGCTTTTGTGCCCGAACCATTGATCACACTCACCTACCAGGCAAAGTCACAGTATAACATTTATTGCTTATTCACAGATATCTGATACAGTATCTCCGCCATGACGGGAAAACGTACCTATATATACATAATTGCACGTAATAGTGCACACTGCGCAGCAACGTAGTACAAGAACAACAACCAATGTCAATAATGAACAGAACAGGCTCCATTATTTTCCGTTCAAGTCCCTTTCCAACAGTGGAGTATTCGGTGTGAACTCCGCTAGAGGATTCAGATCCAGCAGGTTGTCTTCTTCTTCCTGCTGACTTTTCTCGTCGTATCGCGGACCGACCGCCCAGAGGCCGTCTACATCATAGTGTTCCCGCGCCCGCCGGTCGAACAGATGCAGCGCAATGTTCACCATGTCCATCGCAATCCATTCTTTTGACGTCCGGCCCTCTATGCGAGGCACAGGATCCGACGACAGCCGCTTCCGCTTGTAGAGCTTTTTGACGAACTGCGCTGTGGCCAGCATGTGTTGGTGCGAACGGGCCGTGGCCAGCACCATGTGGCCCACGTAGGCGTGGTCCTCGGGCAACCGCAGCACGCAGAGGTCCTCCATGCCCTCCTCGCGCAGCACCTCCACCAGCTCCTCCACATCGAACACGCCGGAGCGGCCGCGCTCGGCGCTCCACGCGTCCAGCGGGTCCCAGAGCGCCTGCTCCTCGGCCGGCGCCGCGCCCCGCTCCGCCAGCTGCTCCTCCTCGTGCACGTCCAGGATGACGCGCGGCCGCTGGCGCAGGTCGCGGTACCGACTGGCGACGGAGCGCGGCATTCGGCGCCGATCGCCGTCCTCGTCAGCGGGCAGTGCTGCCGACCGGCGCAGCCACCGCGCGCAGACCACCCGAGGGACGCGGCCCGACAGTCGGGACAGATGGCGACACCACATCTCGGGCTACGGAACTGGTGGGGAAAATATAGCAGTCACCACCGATGCATTGTTCATGATGCCCATCTGAACACATGTCCCTTACAAGTACCTAAGCTGTAGGAATACGGCCAAAACTGCCATAAAAAGTGCTACTGCTTGAGTTAGTACAGAGTTGCTACTGTTTATATTGAAATTAGGTACTGAAATAGAAAATTAAACCCAACTCCCATCTCCTGATTGGTAGGCTGAGGCCAATGGCAAATTAGAATCAGTTGTTAGACAATTACTTCTTAGACATTTTAAGCAATGAATATGTTCTTATCAGCAATCAGGACCCACTGCTATGAGACATGACCATTCCTTTGACAGCGTGCCATGTCAGGTCATGATCTTGACTTTAACAAATGTTCATACCGACCACTTGAGAGTCAAGACACAATTCTCCTTAAGCATCCTGACAAAAAAGTACAGGTTGGAAAACCAATGCACAAACTGAGTTAAAAATTATTCAGGAAAATCATGAGAACATCAATTTTGCATTTTATTTTCTGGAGGCCCAAATGTTGAACTCAGAGCAAATATAAGGTGCCTAGCCAATTGCCTAGCCTGGGCAATTGTATTGTGCGGGCTGAGTACTTCATCGCAGTGCGCAGGCACACCCGTTCTCATGGATCAACGGCTGAAATTCAGGGAACAGGCAGCAGCTGCCATTGGTAAGGCCAACCGAATGTTTGGACTAACCATTCCATTCACATTCCATGGGCATTCATGCTACATTATGTCAAATCTTGTTCTTAGGACACATTGACACAACATCAGCAAAAGTTATCAAATACCTGTTAAGAATTCCTTTTTGTGATGTTCTAGCTTTACTGCTTTATCAGTAATGAGAGTTTTATCAGTATCACCAAGCTTTGATTAAATAATATTTTTTAGGCAATGAGATGCCTGAATGCAACTTGAGCCAAAATGGAGTTAGTCGTGCATGTTAGCGGCTCTTTCTAATTGACTTCTCTTTCCTGTTGTGAATCAAGGAAAATACTGCATACTATGCATGCTGATAAGAATATTATATAGTATTTCGTGATGAACAGGCTTCTCAATTCAGACAATTTAGCTATTTTTGATGGTGATGGAGACGGACGGACATCAGCCCCTTTCGGCCCAAAACCATACCTCAACCTTGTCTAAAAAGCTTACCCTTGAATTAGGTCCAGACAGATGCCTGCAATGAATACAAACAAGAAGTGGAATATAGCAAAAAAAACGAGAATTGCGAAAATATGATACTGATACGGGCTTCAACAGACAGGGCCTTGCACACGTGCTAAAACTAAAGCCCCAAGCCACGGCCCCTATATGCCCCTTTGGTATCCTATTCGATATTCGACAAATAACACCCACGGATAAAGCCGGCAGAAACTGACGAATCAGCTGCCACCTTTCTCAGCAAGGTTAGCTCAGGATTGGCCAGGACCATAGAAATAATTTTGCTGAACATAATTGATTGAGGCATTCGCGTCATAAATGAAAGTGCTACCATATTTACAGGTGAAGGTATTCACTAATAGATCCCTTTGTGTAAGCGAATGTTATATCCAGTAGTTTTGACTTGCTTTTGACCTTTGACCGTTTTTGTTTCATACCGGATCGGAAATGACTTATGACACTTCCGTGTCATGAAGCCGAAATTTTCACAGCAGATGTCTCACAGGTCCCAGTAGACTAGTCATCGCGGTAGCATCGCATGTGCCCTGGACTTAGAGTAGGTATAGAGGCAAATATATGTCAATGTTGAGATGATCGCCCCGCTCCCGGTGCTTCGTAAGCCCGCGGCCCTTCTTGGCTACCTTCCTTACCCGACTTTGCAGCCAATATAACGAGCAATTAGCCCGCGACATACATCATATAGTCTCTCTTGAAACTATCGCTCTCGCTCCCTAGTTTAAAAGCAGCTGTTTTTTTTTTAGAGTTGACCGCCTAGCCGGCGGCCGGCCCGGACCGTTTTTACGGTTCGACGGGCCGGCCAACGCTAAATAACGGATAACCTGAGGAGCTCTCAAACCAGGGAGCGATAGCAATACTTTCGAGAGACTTATAAGTTCTATTTATACCGTGTACCTATAGTTACTCGACCAGCAGGCCTAGCCAGGAGAGTGTCAGCCAAAAGCTCATCAACATGCCGACTGCAACTTGCAACAAACGTGCGCTTGATGACGCTGGGGTAGTGACCCGGGAGTAGACTGGCTGTCCCAATGTTTGTTTTGTTGGGAGTTTTGTTGTCCCAATGGGAGTACAACCTGATTTATAGCACAATCACTGTAGACACTGGAAGAAAGTGAAGAAACTGGGACAGTATCCGTGTGGCATTCATGTCGTTTACCCTGAGTTATCCTATCAATCTCATTGTCACGATGACCTGTCAATGTATCAATGATTTGTCAATGTCTCGATACCTTGATTGTGTTACTATCACCCTCGACTCAACAATGAAAAAGGCTGTTGAAATAACAGACAGAACGTATTCCCATCTGTTGCATTTATTTGACATTGGGAGCAGCGGCAGCAAGCATGATAATGCACACTAGTGATCGATCCTTATTGTTATTAACACCTCGATGTCTCCTATCAATCCCATCTCACATTTTACCACTAATTGCATTTCCCGTCAAACAAAAGTCACATACATGCTCGGTGAAAAACGGCGTCACAGAGCACGCAACAAAGGACCAAGCAAAAAACAAGTCACCACAGCGACAGTCACACCTTCCGCCGTTTACTCTTTCCCCCAACTGCTGCCTTCTTACCACCCCTCTTTAGCACTCTTTTCTTAGGCTTCACAGCCTTCGCCGATTTCGTAGGCTCCTCTGTTTCCAGTCCACTGTCCTCTGATGCGCTGCTATTGCGCATTTCCACTGCTGCAGCAGCACCATCCTTAAGATGAGCATCGTCACCGGGATCACTCTCATTTTTCTCCGCATCCTTTTCTTCTGCATCTTCCTCAGCTTTCGTATCATCCTCAGCATTCGCCGTTTGTTGGGCGGCAAATGCTGGGCGCAACACCGGTTTGGCGTCTGTGAAGAGGTCCTCATCCGGGTACTCGGTCAGAGCTGCCGGTCCGGGCGCTTGACGGGACGTGATCTTCAGGCAGCTGGCGGTGTAGTCGATGAAACTGATGCTCTGAAGCATACGGTTCATCCGCTCGAAGTGTCTCTCTGTGTACGGCAGCAGTCCTTCGATCAGGGTGCGGCAGTTGGACATCTTCAGCCAGGCCTCGGGCGGCCGGAGGCGCAGCAACAGGTTCAGCACCAACTGCGCCTCGTGGCAGTGCTTGCTGTTGGTGTTCCACTCGACGACAAACTGCAGCAGATCTTCCACCTGATCGTCGCGCAGCTGAGTCAGGATATCGCTCAGCTGACTGGTCTCGTTGCCGCCATCACGACGCAGCTCCTTCAGGATCTGAAGACACCGGAACGGCCGCTTCAGCTTGATAGCCAGCTTCAGGGCTCGCAGCCACTGGCGCTGCTGGACCAGGTTGCTGAGGGCCTGCTCTTGTGAGACGCGCAGCGCGGTAGCCTCGGCGTCTACGCGCGCCTCCTCTTCCGAGACATCCCTCCAGACCAGCAGGGAAGAGTCGGCTCCTCCGGACACAAACAGCCTCTGATCAGCGCGCACCGCCAGCGCCCACACTTTGGCCTCGTGCTCGCTGTACGTCTGCACGCACTCGTTGGTCTTCACACTCCACAGTTTGAGGAGTCCGTCAGCCGAGCAGGTCAGGAGCTGCATGCCACGGCAGAGGAACGCCACACGCAGCACAGAGGAGTCATGGCCCTCGAACGTTTTGACACAGCTGGCGTCCGTGATGGACCAGAGCCGCACCGTGCAGTCGGCCGAGCACGTGGCGGCGATCTGGTCCACCGGTGAGAAGGTCACGGACCAGACGCCCCGCCGGTGGCCGCGCATCACCCCTGTCAGCGCCAGGCCCTCGGTGGCGTACAGCCGCGCAGTCTTGTCTTGGCTAGCCGTGGCCAGAAGACGATCGTTGGGCGACACAGCGACCGAGTTGATGTCCTTGTCATGCGCGATCTCGGTGCGGCGACAGTGTAGAGCGGCCGGCGCAGCCGCAGACTCGTTCTTCTTGGCAGCAACTGCTGAAGCTGGGATGTCCCACACCTTCACACATTTGTCCTCAGCACCAGACACAACGAAGCTGGTAGTCAGCTGACTCCAGGCAACCGACGTCACCGAGGCGGTGTGGCCCGAGCCGACAGCCAGACACACGATCTTCTGTGCATCGGTGAGGCGCCAGAGACGGATTGTGTTGTCCTTCGAGCTGGATGCGAAGAGATTCTTGTTCACTGGAGACACTGCAAGTGAGAGTACCGTGTTTGTGTGCCCATTGACGAGCTGACAATTGAATGTGTCAACTTCATAGACCTTGATGACCGAACTGTTTGTTGCCACAGCAACATTGGATTCTTTTTCACCACAGAAAACAACATCCAGGATTTCATCACTGAAGCCAACATATTGTCTTTTCAGTTCTGCTGTCTGAATGTCATACATGAGAATGTTATGCTCATGGTTCACAACTGTCATTGTACTGTTCTTTTCAGAAAATAGCAGCTGGCAGATCATTGAAGAGCTGGAATGTTCTCCTTGTGTAAAGACACACTCAGATGTTGACAGGTTCCAGACTCTCAGAACTCCTCGCTCTCCAGCTGTGATGGCATGAGTGGTACCACCACACTCAATCCCTGCCACTGAACCACCGGGAGGGACCAGAACTGCTACTTCCATGACCTCATGAGTTGCCACAGTTCTGACAAGTGATCCATCTCTGAGGTCCCACAACATCAGCACCTTGTCACGACCACTACTCATCAGCTGCTGGGTGGCTCTGCATATGCTCAGGCTGGTCACTTTGCTGAAATGACCCTTCAGTTCCTGAGTGACTTCAGAGGTGGAAAGATTCCAGCAGCGAATCACAGAATCATCTCCTGATGCATAAATGAACAGCTCTTTTTCCTTCTGGTAAAACTCAATAGTGCTTATGACACCCACTGAGCCCTTCAGGTTGTGAGTACAGTACTGTCTTACTATGTCCCACACCTTGACAGTTCCATCCACTCCTCCACTTGCCACCAGAGTTGCTGTATTGTCAAACCCCAGTTTGGGAATGGGACCAATGTGAAGTGACTTCCACACTCGTTGAGTCTCATTCTTTTTCCAGTCCCACAACCTAAGCAGACCAGAGGTGTGACTTGTGACCAATAAATCATCCTTGGGACTGAGCTTCATGGCATAAATGGGATCATCTTTGGCCTCCAAGGCATGCAGTACCTTTCCTGAGGCACAACTCAAAACATTCACTTTGTCACCACACTGACAAAGTATGTTCTCACCATCACTTGTAACTTGAACACATGGTTCAGTCAAAAAAGCATCATGTCTTGACTCAAGTCGTAACTTCAAGAACGTCTGTGACTTGTCTTTGACAACACCTTCAGTCATTTTGCTGGTTCATTCAACTCTGCAATAAAAGTTTCACCAGGATTCTGATGGGTGCCTTCAGTATAAAGCAACAAAATGTCGGCACAAAATCCTGAATGTGATCGGAAGCAAAAAATGGGCGACAGCTTGCTGCAAAAACACCAGATATTTCCTCAGTACCCAGGTGCCTATCAGCGGTAATGGCACACAGCAGGCTGGATATGGACCTCAATAATTGAAAACCATTGGATACACACTATATCCCCTCTAAAAATTTTAAAACACACAACTAACTGCGACAGCAACACCTTCAGCAACACCAACCACGTGTTCCCACGCTTGTGACTAGCTGTCGCTTATAATTGACGCATTTGAGACAATCTCTAAGAACATCCAATGTTACTAGTGTCATAAACCATGCGCTTGCCATGATTTTTTTTAATTTAAGCCTGTTCTACTTGAAATCAAATTTTGTCGTCATTTTTTCAATAAATACATTTTTTTATGTTATATTATGAAGCAACAAAGGTGGTACAAAAATAATTATTTTCAAAACACTTCAATAATCCACGACAAAGTCACGTGATATACAGCCTTATCCCAGGCCTGGTATTTCTCAAACGTTTTTAGCGGTGCGAGTTCTCTATATACCGTGGGTGCGGTCAAGATACCTATAAGAAACAGGTAGGTCCGATGTTTTGAGTAAAGCCCAGTAAAGCCCTGGTGACGTCACTGACATTTCTTATATGGAGAATTTCGCCCATAAGGAAAATATTTTACATACGGAAATTTGTATTTCATTAGGAAAAAATACATTCTTTCAATTTCATCATGAAACTTATATAATTTAATTAAAAAACTTGAAATCCTTTGAGTGCTTGTCCCAACCCCTGCTATACCTTTGGTCACGTGACTTCCATGATAAACTTTGCGTTTTGCAATGTTATGACTTAAACAGAAGCAATAAATGTTACAAGCGTATTATTTATGATGTTTTAGGCAGCAATCGTGTAATAACATCCTTGAATTATATACATTCTGCTTAAAGGGACCCTCCCACCTTCAAAAAAGTCAATGAATTGGCATGAAAGTGATGTCGCTCGGTTCAGAAAGAGCAAAAACGAATATCTACCAAATTTCATCGAAAAATATTCACCGGTTTTCAAGATATTAGACTTTTACTTTTGTTTACTTTTTGGGATCTCCGCTGTTCCTAGCGACTTTATTTGAAAGTGCGGCATTTGTTGCGCGCAAAGCAGCATATACCACCGCGTGCTGCAAAACGTTTTAGTCAAACATTTAACGGACGTTCGAAAGCCTGATGACGTCATCAGATTTCCGTAATGGTTAAGAGATAGGGACCACGCTGGTCCCACCCTGCAAGTAAAGGGAAGAAATTTCTTGAACACCATAAAGCTGCTGGGGTTGCGACCAGGATAAATGGTGGTTTCTGAGCCTGGCCGCAAACTTGGCTATCTCAACTCAAAACTAATGTTAAGGTGGGAGGGTCCCTTTAAAAGAGGTCACGTGATGTTACCAGATTGTGCTCGGACAGCATCTTCTTGAACTTCGATTTTGAGTACTTTTTACCTTCATTGAGTCCTAATAACGGACGTTTTTAGTTATAAAATGAAGCAATGAATCTATTGAGGGCAAAATTTAATCATTTTTGCACTTTCAAGCCGGGCTATCCTGGCATGAACTTCGGCCGGTTTGTGTGTGAAGCCTATGGTGAAGGGAAAACTTCACGCCCGGCTGACGTCACAGACCTCGGCTACCAAATCGTGTCCGGTGGGGGTCGGGTGCGGTAACGCGGCTGTTGTGTGTATGAGGAGCCGTGTATTTGGTTTTCAGTTTTAAATTGTCAATTTGATGTGTTTCAGGTGATTTTTTCAGAACGTACGGCACTTCACAGAAGAATTCAAGAAACTTGCGATCCTAGGCTGATTGAAATGCTTTTGTAGGCACTGGAAGTCCTAGGAGGACGAGAAACTTGGTTGAAGTGGCTTGAACAAAAACCGGTGGTGTGCAAGTCAACTATTTACCGGCTTTTGAAGACGCACCATGGCTGACGCAACTGCACGCTCACTGCAGTATGAATATAAGGCGGTGAGTATGTAATTTAGTAGATCAGCTCGGTTCAACCACTTTGCTGTTGACAAACAACAATATTTGAAAGTCGATCTATTGACAAGTCGAGAGCTGCATTGTGTGGGAACTGGGACGATTATCAGTGATAATCAGTTGTGGATAGGGATGCTGCAGTACTGTGTGGACTCTTGATGTTTATTATTGGGCAGCTTATGCACTGAGTGATGTTATCCATGCAGTAAACTGTTGAACTCTCATTGTCTGTCAATGATGCATTGCATTGCAGCTACTTGCAGACCGGCAGATTGGCTTAACTTGCTGTTCAGGCTTACCTGGAGGGCTTTCTCAGATGCTGTTAATGGCTCTTTAGTGCTGTTCTTTATCTTACTTTTGTTCATGTGCACATTCCATGGCAATTGTAGAATTGCAATGCCTTGGCTGGTGCTAGTGTGGGCCCAGGCTGCCACAAATTTATAGCCTGGTGATTGGTAGGTTTGTACTGGTTTGTATTTTCCAAACTGTTCATCCATGCTGCCTCTGCTGGCATGCATTATAATCTGCCCATAACAAGACTTGGCTAACTTATGGATTTTGACCAGCCAAGGTAATTTTGGTCTTATATATTGTTATAGTTTAAAATTATTATTGTGGTGGCAAGAACATTTAGCAGTGCAAGCAGTGACATTCAACTTAACCATGCCAGGCAATATTTGACTGAAAATAGGTGCTGCAAACTAAGTCCTTCCACAATCCACAGGGTCCACATGAGCCAGTCTCTGCACGTGTTTTTTTTTTTACTCAGTGTGATTTCATGTAAACATGCACAAGCACCACAGCATATGCAGTACTGAACACATATTGTTAACCCTCGCATGTGTAGGGGGGTCGGATGGACCCCCCCCCATGGTTTTTCGCGAATAACTCGCGTAAAAAGCGGCCGATCGCGACGAAACTTTCAGTACCCTCGCATTGATCAATTTTACACCTACCCTGAAAATTTCATGACCCTGACCCAAATGACCTTTGACCTGTGACCTCTTTTCCGAGACCATGTTTGGCCGGAATCGCGATTTCGCGTATGTCGGCTCGCACTAGCCACGTGTTTGCAAGCTTTTCGTGGTTTCAAACGTTCAAACATGTGATTTGATGTTACTCCCGTGTGTGTCAAGGTCACCTGAAGGTCAGGTCAGGTCATTGACCTTTGGTGACCTCGGGTGACCTCGGTTCACTTTTTCGAGTTTTACATGTTTCTAGGCTAGTTTTTGGAGCTGAATTCGAATTTAGCAACCATTTGAACATTTACGAAGTAGTTTTGGTGACTTCGTAACATGTTACGAAGCTGTCAGAGGCGGTTGACACGTACTACGAATACCCGTCACGACGCCTACTGGTTGACCTGACCTGACCTGACCCGACCTGGTCTAAATGCTTCAAGACATCATCTGTGATCAAAACTAACACGATATTCGTGATCAGCACCCCGAAAAACTCCTTAGCAGCTACGCTTTACGACTTTCTAACAGGTCCCGATTTTCCCGACTTTGGGTCATTGACCTGACCTGGAAGGTCAACCAATGACCTAGGACCTTAAAATTGGGTATCATCGGCTTCCTCTCGTCACGGGCAACACGCTCGTTTTTTCCGCGAAGCTCTAGCTCGATCAGGGGCCAAACGGCAAGGGGGGGGGGGTCCAACCGACCCCCCCCCCCTACACATTAGAAGCTGGCAAACGCCGCACACATGCGAGGGTTAAATCTGCAGTGCTCAGTATGGCTAAAATAACCAATCCCCACCAGCAATAGAACTGCTAGACTTGTTCCTTCTCATTCAGCACCAAGATACATGGCTACCTTTGCTTAATTGTTTTCCACAATTAAGTCAAATGTCTTGGAAATTAATTATTAAAGGTATCCACAAACTATAACACACTATGCTATAACCCTAGAACGCCTAGGGGGGGGGGGGTTGTATCAACCCCCCCCTGAGGTTTTTTCGAAGTGCACGCTAAACGGCTTGTCGTAGCGGGCTGAAATTTTCAATACCCTCTGGGGCAACCTTTGCGCATTTTTTGCCGAAAAAAATTGATCGGGTCATGTCAGGTCACGGAGTTATGACGTCATAAGAGGTACAGCCTCCGGCCGACAGTTACCAAACGTGTGCGCCGAATCCCTAGGTTTTCTGCCGGTGATACCCACATTGTTTGATGGATCATGATGAAACTTCCCATGCATGTTGGGGCAAGCATTGGCTATCGTGTGGTGCAAGAAAATTGACCGGGTCAGGTCAGGTCACGGAGCTATGACGTCACAAGAGGAACAGCGTCCGGTACTATTTTTGAAAAGCGCCCGAACCACTATTTTGCTAATTCTTGTCACCTCAATGGGAATATGCAGCAATATTAACTTCTATAGGGAGCAAATGGACCTCCCAAATCCAAAAATACAATCAGATTTCAAAAATTAAAATTTTGATTTTTCGAATTTCTGCCGCCGACTGTGACCTTGCCGACTTCCGGCGCTCCCAACGCGCCATTTTTAGAGCTAGGGAAACGAAATACATACCAAACGATAGAGAATTGATCAAGGAACACGATAGTGAAGGTTTCAAGTCGATATCTCCCACCGTTTTGCCGCAATCGCCGCGGAAAGTTGAAAAAGTTTGATTTTTTCGGAAAATTTGACCTTTGACCGGTCATAAGTAGGTCAAATGTTGACCTAGGACCAAAAATATACAACCAATCGCGAGATCTCGTTGAGAGCAATCCGTTGGTTTTTTCCGCTAAGCTCTACGACCTTCCGTTTCGAAACGCCAGGGGGGGGGGTCGTAACAACCCCCCCCCCCTGGTCGTTCGTGTTATGAGAAATGGCCTGGTCGTGCGAGGGATAAAAGACAGCAAGAAAGAAGCTGAAGTGGAGTGACACTTTGTGAAAGGTCTTGTGGGTCTCTAGTTATCAATGAGGTTTAAGTCATGCATGCACCAATCAGATTGCTAAATTGTTGACCCTGGTTTCTGTGACAGGAATATCAAATGTAGGTAGGTAGGTATGTATTCAGACCCACTTGTTTCTTACCAATTTATTTGTCACATCTTAGAACAGGGCTGTGGGGTGCAGAGTCTGAGTGACCCTCAGTGACCTGACCTCTGTGACCTGACTTGGTATCAGTGACCTCAAATAGCAAATTATATGTCAGACAAACAACTCTCCATCGATGATTTTATGCCTCTTGCTCGATTGTACAACATATTTCTTAGAATACCTGTAAATGGTGAAAAATGCGACCTTTGACAGGTCAGGTCAAAAGTAACATTGCAGGTCAGCTGTGATGTCATCGGCTGGACCAAGGTCAATGAAATTGGGTCACGTGGTAGTCCCCGTTGGGGCTTTCGAACGCCGTTTGTATTTTGAAAATCGGCCGGTAACTTTCCGAGATATTAGGGACCCTCCCTACGGGCGGCAGGGTCCGCCGATGGTCCTACGGGGCACAGATTAAGCTTAGTTAGCTACTTTATTGATTCATTAATGAAGCAAAGTATCTTGTATCTTGTGAAAAAGTCATTCACAATCCTTAGTGTCGGGATGCACCATGAAATGAGCATACGATGAGCACATATCCACTCCACAGAACTCGAACCTCGTCCTCCAAACCGACCTCCGGCTGGTGGAGCGGCGAGGCAGAGATGAGGCCACTGGAGAGGTCGTCTCGCTGGTCGGAAAGCTGGAAGGCACCAGAATGGGAGACCGCGCCAAAAAGGACAAACCCAAGAAAACCGACGAGCGCAAAGTCAAGTAAGTCCGTTCATTCAGGAATACGATTTAAACCGCGATAAACGGAAACAAGTCGGACTCTGTATCCCCAAGGTTGGCCGCACCACCGCTAGATCGGGATCTCGGTTTGTGGATTGCAGTCTTAGTCAGTCATAAACAAGCATGGACCATGACACCCATACACCCATGGCGCGATGCTTATAGTTTTGCCGATTGCCTTGCATCTCTCGATTCACTTTCACCATAAGTTTGTTTTCTGCAGTGCAGCTAAAATCAACTGATATGAAGCCATATATAGACTCTTCAGCCCCGGCTTAACTCGAACGCTATTCATCTGTATGTTGTTTAGCTGCATTTGTAAGTTGCCGTCTTCCCCTGCGCCCAGGCGTCAGAAGCGTGATGAGGCGCAGCACGACTTTGCCAAGATGCGCGGCACGACGCTGCTCTCTGAGGGCGTCGAGGAGATGGTGGGCATCTACTACCGACCCAAGACGCAGGAGACGCGGCACACGTACGAGGTGCTGCTCAGCTTCATCCAGGAGGCCATCGGAGACCAGGTGCGGAGTCGGGGGCACGGGAGAGACCGTCAGAGGGCGAGATCGGGGCACGAGAGACCGTCAGAGGGCGAGATCGGGGCACGAGAGACTGTCGGAGGGCGAAATCGTGGCACTAGAGACTGTCGGAGGGCGAGGTCGGGGCACTAGAGACTGTCGGAGGGCGAGGTCGGGGCACGAGAGACTGACCGGGTGGAAGACCGGGATACCGGGCGCTGACCAGGTCCGAGATCGGGGCACGAGCACCTGACGACGTATGATGTGGGGAATTGAAGGTGTACGGGGCTCAGGGACGCACCTGGAGTGACAAGGTGAAGGTGCTGGCCTCTGCAGGCTGGCTTCCTTAGCAATGTTTGTCATAATCGCTGCTCGCAGCTAGCAGGTCCATGGGTATCGGGCCCGATTGTTCAGCTCTTTATGTTTATTAGGGCGTGTTTACTTAAAAATCCTGAAATTTTACTTAAAAAATATAGAGTGTTGTATTGTCGCGCTGATTTTCCTCTCCGTCTCACGCCTCTGTACCTCTTCCGGTCAGCCCCGTGACGTTCTGTGCGGCGCGGCCGATGAGGTGCTGACCGTGCTGAAGAACGACCGCATGAAGGACAAGGAGCGCAAGAAGGAGACGGAGGGCCTTCTCGGACCGCTTGCCGAGGAACGCTTCGCCCTGCTGGTCAACCTCGGCAAAAAGATCACCGACTTCGGCGCCGAGGTCAAGGCCAACACGGCAGGTGAGGACTGGCTAACGGACATGTCGGCGATGGACCTTTGGAGGGAGAGAGTCCAGTACAACAGTTGGCTGACCGTAGTGTTCTAATAAATGGATGTTTGTGCCGTGGGTAGTAATAATCCGGTATCGCATGAACGATGGTCAACTCATAAATATTTGCAAGCTATTTGATAGCCGCATTGGAAACAGCTCTGCCTACCAAATCTTTTGCCTACTTTACCAAGATATTTTCTGACAGTCGATTAGTTACTAGTGAGTACATGGCTATAAATATCTTTTACCATCCTGTTTGTTCCACGTGCAGTGGACCAGCTGGACGACACGTACGGCGTGAACGTGCAGTTTGAGGAGTCGGAGGACGAGGGCGACAACGAGGACGTGTACGGCGAGGTGCGAGAGGACGACGACGATGATGAGGGCGAGGAGTCCAAGGCCAACAACGCCATCTCGGCCGCCAATGTGAGTCGTGAACAGAATAGGCCCCCCGGACACTCGTCACATACACGGTTATAGTTGCGGGAACTCGACGCTTGAGCTTCTTGTTAACGTACATTTTTGGAAGATGTACAATATTGGTCAATCCACGTTAGGGGATGCAACAAAGGCTAAGCTGCGGTGTGCGTTTTAATCACTGGCTGCTTTTTATTTCAGCTTCAAGGAGGCGACGAATCGCTGATGAAGAAGGAGAAGGCTCTTCACCCGCAGGACATCGACGCCCATTGGCTGCAGCGGCAGCTCTCAAAGTACGTGGGACTGATAAATTACAGTGCACCATTCCGGCCGTTGGTCATGATTCTCACCGGTCGAGATGAAACTGGCGCTGCTATTTAGCGCCCAAGAAAAGAAGTCTGATTTACGCTTATAGGCTCCTGGCTGTTGTTTCAATATCTAGATGGTTGCCTTATTTATTTACTTTTTTATGAAACGCAGAGTCAATAAAAATGGTAAAATTGACCTTATGCTCATAATATCAGATAAATTAATTGAAAAAAGGTCCAGAATATATTTTCGAACTTGGTTCTTCTTCGGTGGAATCAAAAATGGCGAGAGAGCGGCAATTACAATAAAATTCAAACTGTTAAAAACACACATCAATTCACTATGCATCTTCCTACATACAAAATTTCAGCGAAGCCTACATCACATCCATATAATTATATAGTTCAGACTTTACCAGTTACAAGATCAAGCTTATCAAGGATTTTGTCATCATCCATATTAGCACATGCAGAATCAATGTGACACGAGTATCAAAGCACAGTATCATCATTACAGTCAGTAGCTATCACATTAGTAGATAACAGGTACTGATCACGTCTCAAGATCATCGTCATTATCACAAACACAATCGAACATGAACGAGTGCCCATCTCACACTGGGCGAGTACCGGCGCATAGGTACTGCTCACATCACAAGATCATATAGCCAATATCATAAGAGAATATAGGAACCGGTGTACAAGTACATATACTTGTACTTGTACACCGGTTCCTATATTCTCTTATGATATTGGCTATATGATCTTGTGATGTGAGCAGTACCTATGCGGCGGTACTCGCCCACAGTGAGATGGGCACTCGTTCATGTTCGATTGTGTTTGTGATAATGACGATGATCTTGAGACGTGATCAGTACCTGTTATCTACTAATGTGATAGCTACTGACTGTAATGATGATACTGTGCTTTGATACTCGTGTCACATTGATTCTGCATGTGCTAATATGGATGATGACAAAATCCTTGATAAGCTTGATCTTGTAACTGGTAAAGTCTGAACTATATAATTATATGGATGTGATGTAGGCTTCGCTGAAATTTTGTATGTAGGAAGATGCATAGTGAATTGATGTGTGTTTTTAACAGTTTGAATTTTATTGTAATTGCCGCTCTCTCGCCATTTTTGATTCCACCGAAGAAGAACCAAGTTCGAAAATATATTCTGGACCTTTTTTCAATTAATTTATCTGATATTATGAGCATAAGGTCAATTTTACCATTTTTATTGATTACAATCATGCTCAAAGAAACGTTGTACCATATAAAACGCAGAGTCGTTCTTTATGTCGTTTATGTGTTGTGGTTAGGGATACCACTTATTCTATTGTTAAGCAATGGCTCAAGTTCATCACTTATCATTCAAAAGACCAACACCTGAGAACCGGCTTCTTGATGGCTGGTCATTTATATAGTACTAACCCCGAGCGTGGACCTCCCGCTGACCTCCTGCCGTTCTCTCTCCGCGCCGCAGGTACTACACGGACCCGTTCGTATCCCAGGCCAAGTCGCGCGAGGTGGTCGAGGTCCTCCAGTCGGCCGAGGACGACCGAGAGGCCGAGAACAAGCTCGTCATCCTGCTCGGCTACGACGCCTTCGACTTCATCCGCACACTGAAAAAGCACCGCCAGATGATCCTGCACTGCACGCTGCTGGCGTCGGCCCAGTCGGACCAGGAGCGCTCCGAGCTGCGGCAGAAGATGGAGGCGGACCCGCAGCTGAGGAAGATCCTCCGCCTGCTGGAGAACGCCGTCAGAGAGGAGCTGGAGGAGGAGGAGCGGGTGGCGGCCGGTGCCGAGCGCCGACCCGCCCAGCTCGAAGCCATGGAAGTGGACGGAGAGGGCGGACAGGTGAGCCGGGCGAACGGGAGGGGTGGCGGTGGCGCTAGGATCGACACATCGGCCGTTATCGGAATATCGTGGTATGCTAGACTGAGGCATAAGTTTTGACAATGAATGTAATGAAAAACCAGGAACTATGATTATCAAATATTCATCTCAGCCGAAAAGTCGAGATGTAACGGTGTCGTGTAACCCCGACCCTTTTCTGGCCGGCAGGTGTCTGGTGCGCGCGAGACGCTGGACCTGGACGACCTGGTGTTCTCTAGCGGCAGCCACTTCATGTCCAACAAGAAGTGCCACCTACCCGACGGATCGTTCCGCAAACAGCGCAAGGGCTACGAGGAGGTGCACGTGCCGGCGCTGAAGCCGAAGCCGTTCGAGCCGAACGAGCAGCTGGTGCCCATCCGGGACATCCCCAAGTACTCTCAGCCGGCGTTTGATGGCTTCAAGTCGCTGAACCGGATCCAGAGCCGGCTGTACCAGGCGGCGCTGCACTCAGACGAGAACCTGCTGCTCTGCGCGCCCACCGGCGCAGGAAAGACGAACGTGGCGCTGCTCACCATGATGCGCGAAATCGGCAAACACATCAATGAGGACGGCACCATCCGCGCCGACCAGTTCAAGATCATCTACGTGGCGCCCATGCGCTCACTCGTACAGGAGATGGTCGGCAACTTTAGCAAGGTGAGGAGTTGGGACTGCAGTTGGCGTCGACGGAAAGGGTATGTGCAACAAAAGCAGACTCCGCTTTCGATTTGTGACATTGGCATAATACCGCGTTCATCACTACCGACTTTCCATGGTCTTCCGACATTTTTTTTTTTTTTTGTACAAATACATTGGTATGTGCTTGTCATTTGTAACGCTCTGACGATGGATGATTGAGTGATATCCAATAAGATGGCTTACGTGTGGCTACCTAGCTCCCCTGTCGTGTTGCCCTTGCACTGTCTATCGTAGCGCCCCCGGTCGGTGGTGCTAACTGCTAACCGTTCTCCCGCCCCGTCCGCAGCGTCTGTCGGCATACAACATCACGGTGTCGGAGCTGACGGGCGACCACCAGCTGTCCCGAGACCAGATCGTCAGCACCCAGATCATTGTCTGTACGCCGGAGAAGTGGGACATCATCACCAGGAAGGGCGGCGAGCGCACGTTCACGCAGCTCGTCCGCCTCATGATCTTCGTGAGTTGACGTGAAGCTCGCAGGCCATGCAGTGTGGGGGATGGGGGGAGGGTAATAATGAGCTATTAGAGTTTGCAGCTATTTGTGCTGGGTTTGGAATTTGCATCACTCATTCTTACCGTCGTTCCAATACAACTTGATAATCGTTTTGTCATGAAAAAAAAAAAACTGAGAAGTAGTGCTTGTTAACGACTTGTCGCTGATGCCTTCTCTCTAGCCCATGCCCTGTCACATTGTTTCTCAATCTTGTTTTCCCTGTGAAAAAGTCAATTCGCAAGATTATTCGCCGGTCGCCCGCCAGTTCTCATCTCACCCCTGTCCCTCTGCTTCAGGACGAGATCCACCTGCTGCACGACGAGCGGGGCCCGGTACTGGAGGCGCTGGTGGCGCGCACCATTCGTAACATGGAGCTCACACAGGAGCAGGTGCGCCTGGTCGGCCTGTCGGCCACGCTGCCCAACTACCACGACGTGGCCATGTTCCTGAGAGTCAAACCGGACACGGTGAGAAACGGGGGGAGGGGGAGGAGAGAGGAGCTGGGAATGGGATTAATATGTGTGGATGGGAGCTGTTTTGATTGTGGGCTGCTGAACTGCAGCTAATATGGATCTATGCTTGCCTTGAGCTGGACAGTGCGGTTGTAAAGTGGGTGCTATGATCAGTTTTTTTTTTAAACATCATTTCCTTTTTTGTTATCGCTTTCGTATAGCACATCGAATGTGACCGGTAACGATTTCTGTCAAACATTTTACTCGTATGCATCGCCGCCTGCTTTTTCAGGCACGGTCTTCTGTCGTATGTGGTGATGGCTGAGACGATTGCCCTCACCATCTTTCTCCCTATCTTTTTCAGGGTCTGTTTTATTTCGACAACTCGTTCCGCCCGGTTCCGCTGGAGCAGCAATACATCGGCGTCACTGAGAAGAAGGCCATCAAACGCTTCCAGGTCATGAACGAAATCGTCTACGAAAAGGTCATCGAGCACGCGGGAAAGAACCAGGTCAGGAGATGGAACTTTGCGGGATTGAGTGTGGGTTCGCCCGCTACTTTGCTTGATTGAAAACACTCAGGCTGGTGGACATTTAATTTTGGACGGAAATTTTTTGTTCCTATTCATGGCAGATTCTTGGCGCCGTCTGCTCTGATGAAAATATTTTTCCCTAAGCTGACTTTTTGTCAACATGAGGCATAGATAACATGAATCATGTTATATATACATAAGGATTATGGTGTCATCTTTTTCAAGTTACATTATGATGTTCCAGCGCTGTTGACGAATAAGCTATTTCACCGTTTTATACTGTTTCGGCCCGCTTATTCATGCTGGCCCCGTTTTCGACACGAGCTGACATCCACTCTCGCTTACGCCACTGATCTCCCTTTCTGCCGGCTGGTGCACCCGTCTCCCCCAGGTGCTCATCTTCGTACACTCGCGCAAGGAGACTGGCAAGACGGCGCGGGCTGTGCGTGACATGTGCCTGGAGAAGGACACGCTCGGTCAGTTCCTGCGCGAGGGATCCGCGTCCACGGAGGTGCTGCGAACTGAGGCAGAACAGGTGAGAAGGGCGGACAGCTGAGGGACGGGTAGGCGGGACCGGTGGGAACGCCGGGTAGCCCGAAGGAGGACAGTAGCGGAATCGTTGGACTGATCGATGACGGTCAGTGCGGGGTTACCAGGGCACGAGTGAGGGACTGACGTACCCAGCTACAGCTGCTGCTGAATTGTGTCATTTTTCCTACGGATAATACAAAGGACTTATTACAGGAGGTAGGTAGGTAACACCAACTGCTGGCTGGTTTTACTTGGAAGTTAGCATTACAGTTACGGAATTATTTTTACAGCTAAAGAGATGGGTCCTTAAATATCTGCATTCAGTAGGTTTTCCTGTCCATGCCATCTTGTAACTTTACCGAGTCCGGTAGCCTTTTCTCACATTCCGTTTCTGTCGTTTTCCAGGTGAAGAACCTGGAGCTGAAGGACCTGCTGCCGTACGGCTTTGCGATCCACCACGCCGGCATGACGCGCGTGGACAGGACGCTGGTCGAGGATCTGTTCGCCGATCGGCATATCCAGGTGAGATCCGGCATATCCAGGTGAGATCTGACATATCCGAACACGTCAGTGACTCATCGTCAGACTCGGCGACTCATGGAACTTTTGGGGAACCTTTGGTCTATGATGGATGGTGAATTTGTGTCTCCTCTTCCAGTGCTAGTAATAATAGCGCCTGCTGTCAGCGAATGCCTTGTTTACTACTATATCTGAGTCCGTAGTTTTCACGAGACACCGTGCTCATGTCATTGATGCCGTTCAGCACTGCTTCCACAATCCATCCTGAACAGTGCTCCCTGTGACGCTATGTTCTGCTGCCTCCAGGTTCTGGTGTCGACGGCCACGCTGGCCTGGGGTGTGAACCTGCCGGCGCACACGGTCATCATCAAGGGCACCCAGGTGTACAACCCAGAGAAGGGCCGATGGACAGAGCTGGGCGCCCTCGACGTGCTTCAGGTGAGTTACAGTGTAGGTGGCAACTGTTACTGGGATGTAGCTCTGGAGTGACGGGGCAAAGTGGCTGGCTAGGAGCCGCTGGATGTGTTCCAGGTAGTGTGTGCCACAAACATTGCTAAAAACTCACCTACTGATAAACCAACTAATCTGATATTTATATTGTAGCTCAAGATCTGCTTATGCCTGCCAATTATCTACCCCAATACCTATCATTTCGTGATATTCTCCACCACAACCCGCGCCACTCTCCGTGTCTGACCGTGCGCCTCCGTTGGACAGATGCTGGGTCGCGCCGGTCGACCGCAGTACGACACCAAGGGCGAGGGCATTCTGATCACCAACCACTCGGAGCTGCAGTACTACTTGTCACTGCTCAACCAGCAGCTGCCCGTCGAGTCGCAGGTCGGTAGTGGGCGCTGTGGTGGTGTGATAGCTGGCGGCAGACCTGCAGGGGACGGGCCTGCGCCTGAGAATATATGAAACCAGTTCAGTCAAAGAATGTGTCGTGGCGTAGATAAAGTGAGGTTCTTGCCGTATCTTTTACATAGAACTAAGAAAATATCACGATAGGCTGGAAAACTTCGGTAGTTTACTTCATTGATAGGTGATTTAGATAAAAGTACGTCGTATTTGATAAGTTTGCTAAATATGTCACTAGAAGCTGTAACTGCCTGCTTCCCTTCTGCAATGTGACTTGGCGGTGGTGCGCCGACTCACAGCTTCGTTCGTTTGCCGCCAGATGGTAGCACGGCTATCTGACACGCTGAACGCCGAGGTTGTGCTGGGCACGGTGAAAAACGTCCGCGACGCTGTCAACTGGCTCGGATACACATACCTCTACGTACGGTACGTGCCACAAGGGAAGGAATGGAATGGGACAATGAACGTCGGCAACTCTGTAAATGCCATCTAGCACGGCTGGCCTGACAATGGGTATCCACTTCGTGATGTTTTAAAAACGCGTGTTGATTTCTTTAGCAGGCTGTTGTTTTCCATTTCGGCGGTAGTTAAGGTGCTTTGAAAGTCAGCCGGCGGAGATAAATCGTCCGCTTTATTCCTCCCCGGTGATATGCTGACAGAATGAAACATTTCTATTGAATTTGTTGGAAGAAAAGCTTTTATTGGACAGCTGGAACGTGAGCTCAGCAGTCACTCAGCGCATTGTGCTCAGTGGCGTGTGGCCGCTTTTATCTGCGAGTTGAAATCCTCATCCCATATCCTGCTGCACTTCGCCGAAACGGCCGGCGCTTAGCGGCGCTTATTAAGCACTCGAGATGAATAGCCAGTGGTGATTGGACGTCTAAACCTCGCGAGATGCCGACTGTGCCGTTGTAACTGACAATTCAGAGACGCTGGCACTGCCATGGCTGCCTATGTGAGGCACGTTTGTGTGAATGTGACTGTGTGGCCTTCCTGGTAACTCGTTGCTGTGTCTCGGCTTGTTGTCTATGTAGTTAGTCTGGACAATTTGTGTGCAGTGTAGTTGGCTGAACACATTCGTATTGATGTTCGGTCGGCGAGCCGCGACTGCCGTAACGTCAAATGAGACTGCTGTCTATTGCTTGCGCCTGGTAGCTCCCGACTGAGGACTGCTCGAGGTATTTCTGTATATTTTGTTGGGTTGTTTCACGATATCCATTGTCTGTGCTGGCAGTCTTTGTTCCAGTTCCAGAAATGGGCGCCTTACATCTTTGCGCAGTAATGTATCTAATTATTTGGATTCTGTGATATTTTATGCTCCTTTAGGTACTGGTTATTGCTGTCGCTGACACAAACAATGCCGGTAATAGTATGTCGCCAACTGACCTCTTTGTACCGCCGTCCGTCCCTCCTGACAAATAACTATTATCCGGTCTGCCGTATCTCAGGATACTTCGTTCGCCATGATTGCTATACCGCTGTCCGTCAGATCCTATCCCGACTGCCTCGTATCTCTTGTCCCTCGCGATTCTCTGCTCGCAGGACTGTAACGCCATTTTGCCCCGTTGGGCTTTCCCTAGTTCCTGCCCCTCAGGATAGGGAATGTGCGACACTATATGGCGCTTTATCTGTTCCTCCTAGTCCTGACTCTATCTCTGGTCCCCTTAGTATTCAGTTCACCAGTGTTATACATGTACTCCGTCTGTCTGTCCCTCCTGGCCCCATGTTCTGTCGCTCCTGACACTATTTCTGGTTCCTCAGGATGCTCTGTTCACGGAGTCACTCTGCACGCGGCTATCTGTTCCTCCTGGCTAGATCTTTGGTCACCTCAGGATGCTTTGCTCCCGGCGCTCTTTTCGTCACTCCCGAGTGTCACTGTTTTCTGTGCTCTCAGGATGTTAATATCGCCGGTGTTATGTGATGCTTATCATGTGTACCTGCCTCTCCTGACTCTTATCTCTGTTTCCCTTCAAAATGCTCCGCTCGCCGGCACGATACGTTGTCTGTCTGTCTCTCCTGACCTCTCTGTTTTCCCCTCAGAATGCTCCGCTCGCCGGCACTGTACGGTGTCAGCCACGACATGGTGGAGGCGGACCCGCTGCTGGAGGGCCGTCGGGCCGACCTTGTGCACACCGCCGCCCTGGCACTCGACAAGTCGGGGCTGGTCAAATACGAGCGCAAGACCGGGCTGCTGCAGGTATGGCTGGCGGCTGGCACAGCCAGGGGTAGCCAGTAACAGTTGGTAGCATTAGGCCAAATGGGCGCTCAAAAACTACTACCCCATAGGGTTTGCATGTTAAATCGACCTTTTTCAAGCGAGCCCCACACGTAAGCTAAAAGATAAACTGCCAATATTATTGTGGGGAAAGGTAGCCTAAAGCTTCCTCTACAACCTTTTTATCTAGCGTTTTTCGATGCGGAGGCCATCACAGGTCCAAAAAGCATTGGGCGCTGCCCGAGGTACCAACAGCCCCTCCATGAGGGCACTAGTTCCTGCGCATGCGCACATTGCCTCAACCCTGTACTAGCGTAAGTTATCGATACTGCTCACGGACTCGATCAGCCAATGAGCGTCCCCGATTACATAAATAGATGTCGCTAGCATCGCGTAAATCCTGCTTGCGAACACATTTAAAGAATGGAACAGCTGCGCCATTTCCGCCTTCCATAGATTCCTTCCATTTTAGTATCAACTATAGGCTTTTCAACTAACTTTATCCTAAGTTTTAAACTATGGTTAGTATGTTATTTCTGGTTCATATAATTTAAAAATAACTGCTTTATGAATTTGGCTTTACTCGTCAGGATGGAATACTCTATTTATTCCATATTCAAAAAATATATCACCTTCCATGTAACTCATCCAGGTAAAATGGGCGCTTTCCGCGTCGTTGGTGTACCCGTTGTTCTATATACCCTGGGCACAGCGGGGGTTAGCGGGTAGCACGGCGGGAGTTAGCGGCTAGCACGGCGGGAGTTAGCGGCTAGCACGGCGGGAGTTGTCCAACTAGCGGTGCAGAGTGCAAGATAGATAGTCGCATTGGGGTGACGACTGTTCGATGAAAACATTTTTTGCCTGATGGAATTGGGGGCTAATTAGTTTCTTTTTCTCCGGGGAAGTTTGGGGCTTGCTTTCGTCTACCGTATAAGCTCCTGTCAACTGCTGCTTGTTTATAACTTTTTACGTTTATGTTAACTTTAGCTTTTTTCCCATGACCGTTGAATAACCTCGTGACTTATAGCAATTAAGAATATGCCGATCACTCGGAAGCGTAGGCTCTGATTAGTGAACAGAGGAGTACTTCAGCCAACCTCCCACTTTCCCGGCTGAACCCCATCTGTTGCGTTATTTAACTCGCGCCGGGGCTCTGCGTCTGTGTGAGGCGCGCCGATGCCTGCCAAATCTCGGCACATTTCATGCCATCTCTGTTGATCGAACCCAGTCGTCGAGTTGGCAGCCGCCCTAACTTCTGCATATCTCAGCGGCTATTGGGGCTTCGCGGCCCATCTCGGCCGTATGCATTCGATATGATGGTTCGTCGGGCGGCAAGCCGTCAGCCGCGGCACTCGGGAGCGCCCGTCTGCGTCGGAGGGTGCTGGATGACGGCTGAGGGCGTCCCCCGCCCCGTGCGGCCGATGTCGCCCCCGCAGCGGCCGATCCAGCCACCAGGGATGGCGCGTTTGATGGGGTCATGCCGGCCGGGCGCCGACAATCATGATGAAAAATACGAGCTGGCCCGTGCGCTCTGGCATTCATGAATGTCATCAGGGACAGCGGCGCTGACCGTTCCCCTGAGCGGTCGACGCCGGCCGGCTGGGGCCGACTGGGCCGCCGCGGACCCACGCGCCGCCAGCGGACCGCCCCCGGCGCGCGGGGTACACCGCGACACGTGGGCTAATAACGTCCAGGCGACCGTACTCGCTTCTACGACCCCCACTGGTCAATAATTGACGGGGTGCTCGTCTAACCCGCGTGCGTGAATGTCGCCGAAAGGCTGTAAACCAGGATCCCGGCGGCGCGAAGCTTAGATAAGCGACCTTTGCCTCCAGGCGTGGGAGCCGCGGTGCAAAACGCTCGCCCGTCTGACGTTAGTTCGGGTCACTGCAATGACGTCATCGTGTAGGCCAGTGAATGCGATCGCTGGCAGCCATTGACGTTCGCGGATTTTGATAGGAGAACCTTATTGCTTCTGAACTGAAAGTGGATACTCTGTGAGTGCGGCAAAACTGCAACTTATTGAGGAAGGCACCTGGCACATATCTCGATGCAGGATATTGCCACCTAAGTGGTCTTGCGTCATGTATCGAATGTTCATTAGTCCTTTGTTATTGCAGTGACGCAAACCTTTTCCAAGAAATAATATCCTCCTTCTGGATATACGAATCCAGTTTCTGGAACTCCCAGTACACCATCAACTTGTATGCATTTATGCAAATGTGTAATGCCTGCATTATGCGGGTCTCCGGCAGGACTCACCACTCTCTCGCCCTCTATCGCTTCGGGTGCAGTATCGACTCTCTCTCTCTCTCTCTCTCTCGCTCTCTCTCTTTCTCTCTCTCTCTCTCTCTCTCTCTCTCTCTCTCTCTCTCTCTCTCTCTCTCTCTCTCTCTCTCTCGCTCTCTCTCTCTCTCTTTCTCTCTCTTTCTCTCTTTCTCTCTCTCACTCTCACTCTCACTCTCACTCACTCTCCGTTTCGCCGACAGGTGACTGAGCTGGGTCGGATCGCCAGCCATTTCTACCTGACGCACCAGACGGTACAAACCTACAACCAGCTGCTGAAGCCCACGCTCTCCGAGATCGAGCTGTTCCGCGTGTTCTCCCTCTCGGGAGAGTTCCGCAACGTTGGCGTCCGAGAGGAGGAGAAGCTGGAGCTCTCCAAACTGATGGAGCGTGTGCCCGTGCCCATCAAGGTGCGGTAGGGGACGGGCAGACCTGGGACTGGATGTGTGTAGAGCTGTATGGGTGTTTGATCCAACCGACTGCGGTGGTACGCATAAGAGAACATGTCTGTTAGAACATGTCTCGCAAATATGCTGACCCTTGAACCCAGTCTGCTTCCGATGTTCCTCTGATCCATTATCTCAATGACCTTTAATAGCCCTTTGTTCTACCTCTATTTCCTGACAACGGTTTCCTGACATCTGAATCCCACATGTGACCTCCCACTGCTGGCACTGACCGCTAATTGCTGATCCTCAGCGCCCAACCCATGACCCCTGGCATTCTGCCCCAACATCTTACTCTGACTCCTGACTTCTGAACCTCGACCCTCTACTGCTGACTTCTTGCCTTCTAAACCCTTAACCCCTGACGCATAACCCTTAACCCCCAACTGTCAGCCCCTGATCCTTAGCCTCCATGACCTTAACCTCCCGATCCCTGACCGCTGACCGCTGACCAGCTGACCCGCCGCTGACCCTCTGACCTCTGACACTTCCCCCTGATCACCGGACAGGAGTCGATCGAGGAGCCGAGCGCCAAGATCAACATCCTGCTGCAGGCCTACATCTCGCAGCTGAAACTGGACGGCTTCGCGCTGATGGCCGACATGGTGTTCGTGACGCAGTCGGCCGGCCGGCTGATGCGAGCCATCTACGAGATCGGTTAGTGTGACCAACATTACTTAACTACTCAGTGTGACCTCCCTAGACTGTCCTGGGCCCTTCCGCACTCCTCCTTCGTCTATGTGTAGAGAGCAGCGGATGGCGACCAACCGCAGCGCTCTAGCTCTCTTCTGTCGCAATATTGTCGACAGCATTGGCTCAGGTTTACGAAGAAGAATGTTTGCTTAGCAAGATTACTGAGGGGAAGACTCGCCTGTATTGCAATAGATATTGTAACCTTGGTACCGGAATGACGCAATGAGACCTTGATCAGTATACTGGGACAATAGTGCTGGAAGTTGTCGTGAGGCGAGGACGTAAGTGTTGTTTTTCGGGGCAAAGTTCTAAACTTCCGCTAATTGTGTAGGAGTTCTATGTTGTTGACCACCCTTTGCGCGGACAGCACTTTACGTCCGCGATGACAGGCACCGGCACACACAATATTGAGGCCGAGACCGCCCGAACGAACGCGGTCGTAAGCCGGGAGATGAGAATTCGTCGCAGATCAAGGAGACGGGAAAGAAGAAAAGCCTTTGCGACTATTGGAAAAACACATTTGACGGTTTTGTTTTGTTTGCACCTCAGCTACACATGTTTGCCGATCGTACTGCCTATTCCCGCTGCGACCAAAGGCCGAGTCTGCGAGTTTGTCCGCGAGGGGTTCAGAGACGAAATTCGCTTCTGCTTCCGTCTGCTGTCGAGGAGTGGTGGAGACGTCTCTGTCGGTAGCTCCCTTCGCTCGTATGTGACTCTCCTTCTGATAATTTGCCTCGGGTCTGACTGAGCGGCTTTGGAGTGCGCCTTTGAAGATTCTGACTAATTGCACCTACTGTTAACGCCAAACGCCTTGAGACCCTAATTTTTCGCGATTATTTTTAAATGCGTGGAATAATTTCAACCATATTTAGGAAATAGCGGTTTCAAGACCTGCCGAAACTTTTTCTTCAATTACATTTTGTTGTCACTTAAATATTTGTGGCACTTGTCATTGACTCGTAATGTTAACTGTTTTTCCATCCTGGATAGAGGCTTTCATACGTCATATGACATTAGGCTCCGCCCACGACTGCAGCATTGACCCGTGCCCATCAGCGACCTCTGTACAAACGACACCCCTGCCATCTGTAAAGGGCTATGAATTTCGCTGACGTTTCACGTGCTATGAATCAATTGCAGCAGACGGTCTAGTAAATGTTAGGCTCTTGTTGACTCTTGTAGGTATATGGGACCAAGAGGACCATCAATCCTCAATCTTCTACTCACACATGCTTCGAACAAACGTTAACGATTCCTAACAAATACGATTTTCGATGTAGGATATCTGTTTGGTGATCTGTTTGGTGAAATACGAGCGAGCCTTATGATGTGAAACGAAGGCAATTAGCTAATTATTGCGCTGGTCGATGGGTGCATAGCGATGTACAAATCAGGAGCTACTTGATGACATCCGACATCCCATTATCGCATTATCTGCAACGCCATAGGCTTTAAATGCGGGTGAATATTTCCTAACCTTATGTCAGTTATATGCCATCTGCCCGTCATTTGCAGCTTATAAATAATAAAACAAATATCAGCGAACATATCAGCATTGTACAAGCAATGCGCATTGAGCATTTATGGCTCCTCAGTCATCAAGTCGCTCTTTGGGCAATGTCAGACAAGACGTTACGCACAACTCCGCCGGCTATCGGCACCGCTCGACCGTCCCCGCTCCCCGCCACAGCGCGAGTGACCGCGCGCCGGCCCGAAACCGCCGCAGGCCAAGACCACAGAGGCGGGGCTTAGCAGTGACGTCATAACGTATCACAGACTGACTGGTGATAGCCTCTACACACCGGGTGAAAATCTTGCTCGAAATTTAACATTACGAGTCAATGAGAAGTGCCTGAAATGTTGAAATGGCGACAAAATATCTAAATCGTAAAAGTTTCGGCAGGTCTTTGCGACAAAATATATAAATTGTAAAAGTTTCGGCAGGTCTTGAAACGGCTATGTCCTGAGCTTGGTTGAAATTCTTCCATGCATTTAAAAATAATCGCGAAAAATTAGGGTCTCAAGAGGTCTGGCGTTAACAGTAGTTGCTTTAATGGCCTGTGGTCTAATTTATTGATTAGAACTCATCCATGTCATCGCCCATTTACTGATGAAATCAATCCGGCATCATTTAATTAGCTTTGTCAATCTTTGTCCATCAAAGCGGGCAATTGCGCGGAACTGGTTAGACAATGGATGCTTCAGAGTCGAGCCATGACGAGTTCTGATCATCAGCTAATCTCCTAAGTAATATTATGCAGTGCTGAGTCAGCTAAGTCGAAATTAAAAGAAAACTTTGAACACTGTTAATCATTTACATTGTTTAGGTTCAATGAGTAGAGACTATGACATTAAACCTTTCGATGCCCCAGACAGAAGTGCTATCAGTTGTGTTTTGTTGACTTTTGCAGCCTTTTTGAACGATCATTTTTCCTCATCATATTTTGCGATTAACGAATAAGGATACATGCGTGCTTTCTCTGAAGTTCCTTGTCTATTCTTGCTCTTTGTTAAGTGTAAGTGCGAGTAAACGGGATGTAAGTTTGTTAAATTTGGATATTTTCTGACGTTGCTATATTTATGCGTAGGTTTCCGAGACGTAAACTGAAAGAGCCTCGCAGTCTGTTTCCGTAAGCAAGCAAAGCTCACGTTTTTTCTCGATCCGGTCCCAGTTCTGCTGTGCTCGTAGACGGGGCATTTCTCGCTCATTGATAAAGGCTGCCGACGGTCTCAGCTGTTTGCCGAATGGTGATGGGCGAGTTAAAGTGCAACATCCTAGCATACTGCATAAATCAACAGCCTGGAGAGAGTCTGAGGGACCAAAAGTTTACCAGCTTTTCACAGCAAGTTGCCCTTCAACACCTGACGCCGCGTCAACTTTAAACGAATAAGAGCAGCTACGAAACAATAAGAAAGAAGTTTTGCCTTTCTCCAGGGAGGCTGCGAGCCTAATCCAACTAGATGCCTCTCAAAATTGGTTTCAGTGGCGCGGTATATGTCAATTTTGCTTCGCATCCTTCCCCTTTGAGTGGCTGTACGTGGTACTTTCTGAGAAAACATACGAGTGTTTGGCTCGTCCCCGCCGGCACAACAAAGACATATCCGGTTGATGTTTCTCTGTTAGGGATGCTTTTTATGTGAGGCAATATCACATAGTGGAAAAAAATGTTCAACAGACTTAGTGTAATAAAAGCTTTTCACATGTATACTTGAATGGGTAACGAGATGGATGACGTAAATATTTGCAATATCCTGGTAACGGAAACAAGATATCGGCTCCCAGAGCATATTTCCATCCCTACTTCTTATCACAAGGTATTTCACATATTTCTACATTCTTACCAGGGCTGGTCGATGTCTTACAACAATCCTATTATAAGTTGTCATCTCAGTAGTTTTTCCACTTACGCGGTCACATCTGAACTTGTCTTCCCCAAAACCCTACTGTTTTATTAACCACCACGAATGCACCGCGGATCATCAATCAATTTAAAAGTAAATATTCTTTACATTGTTTCGGCCATGGTTCGTGTATTCCGATGACCGGAAAGCAATAACCCGCGAGCTGCCATTTGTCGGACTCGTACCATAGCTCAGGATATGGCTGGTAACTGGCGTCTTACGTGGCCAAACGGCCGCCATGCCTTTCGGCAGCCGACGTGTGACGGCGGCTCAAGCGGCCTCATATGTCTGTGATTGGACCATTCGGCCCGTTCACCCGACAATGCCTTACGTCAATTGTGCATTTATGAAGTGCTAAATCCAGAAAACACATATGATGAATACTTGGCTGTGCCGGTCGCAAATTGTTGCCAGCAGCTGCTGATATATGTATGCGTTTATGTTTAATAAGTGCGTTGAATGTGATCTGAGCTGGCTGACCAGCGACGTAATGCTGCGTGGACCTCGTCTATCATACCATTTAAGAAAGTGCCGCCGCTAATCACAACTGACAGATGTCTCACTGACTTTGTGCGCTGATATGTATGCGTTTCTGTGTGCCCGACAGTGCTGAGCCGCGGCTGGGCGCAGCTTGCCGAAAAGTCGCTCAGCCTCTGCAAGATGGCCGACAAGCGCATGTGGCAGTCCATGTCGCCGCTGCGACAGTTCAAAAAGATCCCTGACGAGGTGGTCAGGAAGATCGAGAAGAAGAGCTTCCCGTTCGAGAGGTGAGGAGTGCTTAGCCGGCGGGTTGGGCGCTGGAAGGGACTATCACGGCGGGGTGAAGGGCAGGATGGGCTATTGATACCCCTATTGATACCCCTATGGGGCTATTGAGGGGCTATTGACGGTGGAGTGAGGCACAGGAGGGAGCTATTGTTACGCCCACGACGGTGCAGGGACCCCTTGCTGCGGGGCAGCGGCTGTCGAGATGCCCTCGAAGGACGGGAGCTACAGTGACCTACGGTGGGGCTGGCGCACCACCGTTATGGGAGCCACCTCGCCCTGTTCAGTTGTTTTCATTGAACTTCATTGAAGTTATGCTATGGTCTGGTTTTGTATGAGTGGCAGACGACGCAGGCTGCACTATTTACGCAGGCATAGCAGTGTGGTTCAATGGTTTCTAAAAGTGGAAATGTTTTCTTGTTAGAGTCAGACAAGCTTTTGGTGCTTTTAATCCAGTTTTATTCAGCTGCACGGCTAACTTATGCTGTCGAAAGGCATACAAGTCATTCATCTTTTGCAAACTGCTGTGTTTTCAGCTTTTCTTTAGACCTGTTTTGACGTTGGATGTAATTACTATTTTATCAAAGATGTAGACTCGAACGGAATATTACCAATGTTATCATAGATGTAGACTCGAACGGAATATTACCAGTCCTATACGGGAAAACCCGGGAGCTGTGCCGATTGCTCCCATCATCGCGTCTGTCCCTGTGATGTGATGAGTCGGTCGGTCGACTGCCGGGTGCAGTGGCGCGCGGCGCGTTTGATTTGGCGTCCGCCGCCCGGCCGCGCCGCCACACAGCACTGATTGAAGCGCCGCGCTCCGACCGCGGCCGGTCTCTGACGGGCCCTCCGCGCCGGCGACGGCGGCCGCGGCGCCCAACAACTTCAATCAGGGCGCGGCGGAAGCCGAGGGCAGCGGGAGGTTTTCACGGGCCGCCGCAACCAATCAGACTGTTCGCCTCGAACGAGCCGGGCAATTCTTTTGAAAGCGGCGGAATGGGCTCCCGTTTTTGTCTACCAATGCTCAGATGTGCTGCTGTAGTCGGTATATGAAGTGTCCGGGAACACATTTAAAGGCAAATGCTATATTTAAAGGTGCCGGCGTTCGCTTTGTAGATATATTTGATTCCCTTTTTTTGGCCTCGCTGCACTGGCTACACGGCGAACATTCTACGTTTTTCTTGCTTTGTTTTTATTGTTCTTCGCTTTTATTATTATTTTCTTATTTATTTCTAGCTAAGTTTAGAAACCGGAGGTACTGAACACACGGCCTACTCGAAGTCTATTATTCTTCAAGCACTCGTCTTTCTATTGATGTGTTGGATAAAAAGAACAATAGTCAGAACTGGAAATAATGTATAGGTATGTTGCCAACGCATGGAGCACATTAAGTAAGCAATGCGGACCTGGCGATAATGAATAAACTACCCGCTGAGATTTTTCATGTCTTGTCTATCGTAAAATACATCACATTAATAGCATAGCTGAAAGGGGATTTTATCGAACAATGGAAAAGTGAAGAGATCGTAGTGCGTAAAGTTCTCGTTGAGAGCCAAGGACCAACACTTCTCCGCCTTAGAGTAACTGAATGCCATCGTTGTCCTCATCAGCGAGACCTCGACCCTCTCTTTCGTTACACTTGTCCCATCACGACCGAGACCTCCCTCTCACCGTGTTAACCCGTCGTCTGTCCCCAGGCTGTACGACCTGGGACCCAGTGAGATCGGTGAGCTGATCAGGGCGCCCAAGATGGGCAAGCTGATCCACAAGTATGTGCATCAGTTCCCGAAGCTGGAACTGTCCACTCACATTCAGCCCATCACCAGGTGAGTCGAGCGCGGCATCTTACGGAAGGCGGGTAACTGAGCAGGATGTGGGACGGACGGTAGGAAACAGCGCCTGAAAATTATCGCCAACCTTATGTAACGGTTCGGTATAAACAGGACACAGCTGGAAGTATCACATTCCTTTTTTGGGTGTAGTTGCCAAGCCATGTTGTGGTTTGATGTGTACTGGATTTACAAAAGCATAATATGATATTCAGCGATAATTGATATCTGCTCAGTTTACGGATCATAATCCGATGATCACGCGATGACGTTTTGTACCCGAGTCACCGAGTGGTTTACTGCAGTAGTTGAAATTGCTCTTTCCACCCAGCATTCTCTTTGCTTGCATACCTGCAACCATGTTTCCAGCCCCATGTGTTTTCTCCATCCAGACTTTTCTCTTTTCATTGTTTACTCTTTTTCGCACCGCTGCGCTCAGCCGGCCGATGCAGCTTCCGCCATCGAACTGGGACGTTGGGCGGAAATGGTGCCTCTCTCTGTAAATGGACTGTGTGCAATCGGCGGACGGGTGGTTCGCAGAAACGTCGGCTCGTTTCTGCGGTGCCGCCGCCGCTGTCGGTTAATTGGCCGCCATCTTGGAGTGACCGTTTTTTTGTCGGCCACAGACAAACGCTGAAGGTGGAGCTGACCATCACGCCCGACTTTCAATGGGATGAAAAGGTGCACGGCCGCGCCGAAGCCTTCTGGATTCAGGTACGGCGGCGTGTGTTATATGTAGGAGGTGGGTGCCGCCAGGGAAATAGGGTTCACTCCGCGTGCAAAGACGGGCGACTATGCGATATTTGTGTTCACTACTCAATGCTCATGGTTTCTAGACAAACGGGTTTGTTATTGGATAACCATTTGTCGTGAGGAAGATTATGGCGTTTGAAAATATTTTAGAATTCAACTTTACTTATTACGTATGGTGCATAGGATATTTATCTCAGGTTTTTTTTCTGTACAATCTTGGTTACATCAGCGCTTTTTGATTGATATCGATGTTGTTTATGATCTTATTGTTCGCTAATGCTGTTCATGCAATCTAGCTGATATATACTAGATAACAGAAAGTTACGATACAGAGGGAAGGCGTCACCTCACCCTTTCCTCCCCACGGCCACAGGTTCTGGACGTGGACGCCGAGATTCTGCTCCACCATGAGTACTTTTTGCTGAAGCAGAAGTTCGCGCAGGACGAGCACGTCGTCAAGTTCTTCGTGCCCGTGTTCGAGCCGCTGCCGCCTCAGTACTTCATCAAGTGAGTGAGACGGGCTACGTGACCCTCGGGGACCGCCGTGACCTGTCCGTGTCCAGCTCCGGTGACCCCGAGTGTCGTGCTGCCGGGTGCTGGGTGTGACGTGACCTTTACTGCCGACTCCACCCGGCAGTGACGCCGGTAGGCAGTCGGACCCTCTGATTAGAGAGCGCCACTGCGCGAGGAAGCGGCTGCGGTCTTCGGTTTTGTACGGGATGCTGACGGTGTTAAGTTAAGCTCTTTGGCGAGGAAGACGTGAGAAGTTGACTCTCTTATTGGATCCCTTCAATTCAGTTAATTGCGTAGTCTTGCTATGATGAGATGGGCTGCCGAAGTTGGCGTCTCGCTCAGTTCGGTCGGCGGAGTTGGGTCGGGGATGGGATTGAGGTCAGAGGGAGCGGCGATGGCTCGTCGCCGGTTTTCTATTAGCTGCTGATTGGGGGGCTCCCGGCGGCTGGTGGCGGCTGCCGACAGCCAGATAAGGTCGGCCCGTGTGGGGCGGCCGCGCCGGGCTAACGTCAGGTCAGGATTTGGGTGCCGAATTACGGCACGCTCGGTCTCCGACAGCGCGGGGGAGCAGGGACAGATAGTTCGCCGAGGTCTGCCTCCGGCGGTACGGTTAGGTGCTCTGGCAATATCACTGGCACACTGCAGGATCGGAGCAAAAATGACGGTACCCAACTCAGCATGTCTGCAGCATTAAAAAAAAAGTATATCCAATTAATTACGACTGTCTTGCAGGACTGCTCGCCTATGAGGTAACTCACATGATACGGCCCAAGGATCAATGTGGTTTAACAGAAAGTCGTGCACAGAGTTTTGAGAAGCTGTTAGTCCTTTGCTTTGTCACTCAAGAGTCAAAAGATCAAAAGGTCCCGTACTAATAACCTTCCAGACGTCTTCAGACTTGTAATTTTCTCGCTTATATAACATTTCCAAACAACCAATACTAACTACCTGAATGCCCTTGTGCCACTACCATCAGAGATGATACGAAACATCTTTAAAAAAGATAATAGAACCTTTGCCATTAAAGTGAGCCCTCGCTTCTGCACTAATAAGACCCACTAGCCTGGATCAAGTGTCACAAACACACCGTCACCGTCGCAGCCTGCTGTTCCGTCTGGGAAGTGTCGAACGCTGTCGAAGTGTAGACCTGATCCACTTCGCCAGTCCCCGTGTAGCGCTGGTTCTGCGGCGCAGGATCGGCCGTTCGTATCGCCACGGCGCGCACGTCGATCCCAAAAGAATCGGCGTCGTTGTCCGTCGTTTGATGGAGCGGGCTCTCTGTCCGGGAATAGCGGCGCCGCTCGACGAGGCGTGACACCATTTCTGTCGGCGCTGAGTTTTCCGTTAGCTCGCGGTTTGCCGGCGCTAGTCTGAACGCGAAGGGGTGATGGATTTGATTTGACTGGTCTGGTAGGTGGGGTATATGGAGGGGTGGCCTTCCCGAATCAGGCGGCGCGCGGCAATGTCAGACTTTCTCTCGAAGCGTGGCGGTATATACCAGCTGGTGTCCTCCGGTCCCTCGCCGACTGCAAGCCATATGTCTGAGAAATGATTTTGGATCGTGCCCTATAGATCGCGCTGGTTTTATTAGGTCTGTGATAGATCAGCACCCGACCGACCAGGCCCACATATATCGCCCGGACCTGGCTCAACGCTGTCAGTGTGTCCGCTCACTGCCGGATGCAATGATAATTCCGCCAATGCGGCACCTTGGTCTAGGTGTTCTGCAAAAAACAATATTTTGTGTGCTCGCGAGTCGCGACGGATATACCCGAGCTCATAAGGCAGTTCGTAAGGCAGTTTGTCTTCATAAGACAGTTTCAAGTGTGCGCTGCAGCAAGCATAGGTCAAACACGCGTAATAAGCGGTTGAGCTACTAGGATGTGATATTGCAAGCGAAAGCTCATCATTTTGTGGCTGTTTTTTTTTTTAGAAAATTGCTGTCGTCATTCTGGGAAAGTTTTGTTTGATGAGGGTTATGTAAGCAAGCACAATCGAAGGCTGTCGACATATGATATAACTAGGTTTCTGCAAGAGATCCACCCACAATATCCGTTAATCGTCTTTTATCGAGATTTACATCATGTTTCAAATGATCACATGGAAATAGCCTCTGGTATGGAACAATATCTGTTTATTTTATTCTTTTTTTTCTTATTTCCTTTCACTTCGTACAGTTTTCTCTTCCTAGACCGGTGTCGCTAATGAGTGGCTGGCTTACCCTGCTCAGTTTTCCTCTGCCGGGCTATAGGCTGTCGACGTCCGCGGAACGAGCTCTGGTCGGACCCTGTTGGCGGCAGAGCTGCCTGGCAACAGGCAGATGCTGCTTAGGTGGCTATATAGTTAATTTTCTTCATTATTTACGAGATAACTATTCATAAAGATGTGTGAAAGGGATGAGTAGCTGTTAAATGAACCGAGTTGTATGAACGCTTATCAGTTGATTTATGCTAAATGTAGTTGAACTCGATATGTATTACATTGAGTGGTTGGTGCAATTTCATTTCAGCGCTTCGAAGTAAAATGTGTTATGCGCCAGCACACTTAGTGTTCAGACAAGCATAATCTGTCAATTGTTTCTGTTAAAATTGTTCATGCTGTTTAGGTTATTGCTTTGTTAATAGACTTTGCAGTTCGTTCTTTTACATACTATGATAATTAACAGTTAAACAACGTAAATATTCAAACACTTTTGTTTTCAGATAATCCGTGGTTGATAAGTTATCGGTGACGTGCATCCGTGTATCCGTGTCATCCGTGCACACGAAGTCATTGTGTCAAATGCCTTTATATCAAATTGAAGCGTGGTCATGCAGGATTAAGTCGATTCAATGGATTAAGCCAGTCGATCAAATTGAATAGGTTGTTGATTGAATCGTGTTCAATAGAAATTAGTTTGAGAAATCGGGAATCGCCTATCATTTCATTACAGTTCGAAGTGGAGTTGCTTCGTTCAATGTACACGATCTGTTCAATAAATTTGTTTTGTTTTCAAAATTAAAAGTCTGGCCTAACATCTTATTCTCCACTTATTTGGATGTCAATATTCTAAATATTTGCGATTATATGTATGTGTGTCGCAATGCCCTCGAATGCGGCTGTAGCCACTTAACATTTTGTTTGCCTACAGGGTAGTTAAGCAAGTTGTAAATCGTATTCGATCCGTTACCATGTAATCGTGCCGTGCCTTGCCTACAATATCCGTTATTCGTCTTTTATCGAGATTAAGATCATGTTTCAAATGATCACATGGAAATAGCCTCTGGTATGGAACAATATCTGTTTATTTTATTCTTTCATTCTTATTTCCTTTCACTTCGTACAGTTTTTTCTTCCTAGACTGGTGTCGCTAATGAGTGGCTGGCTTACCCTGCTCAGTTTTCCACTGCCGAGTTCTAGGCTTTCGACGTCCGCGGAACGAGCTCTGGTCGGATCCTGTTGGCGGCAGAGCTGCCTGGCAACAGGCCAATGCTGCTTAGGTGGCTATATAGTTAATTTTCTTCATTATTTACGTGATAACTATTCATACAGATGTGTGAAAGGGATGAGTGGCTGTTAAATGAACCGAGTTGTATGAACGCTTATCAGTTGATTTATGCTAAATACGAGGGGGTATCGAAAAGTTATGATCATCACCATGAATTAGATGTGATAGAAATTTGATTTTTTTACATGATGTTCATTACTCCTTCACAAGTCACCACACACGACCGCAGACTTATTGCATCGTTTCTTGAGCTGCCTCAGGCGGTCATTGTAGGACCTTCGCACTGTCCCGTAAATCACTGCTCCACCTCATCAATGACGTCATTTCTGTCCTTAAATCACCGGCCATACTGTGGATTATTCATCTCCCGTAACAATCAAGAGTCAGTTAATACCCGGTCAGGTGAATTTCTTAGATGCGGTAGGATTTAATGTCCACATCATGTTGTTTCTTCAATTACAGCTCAGGACGAATGGGCGGGGGCGCTGTCGGTGCGGATAAAACATCTTTCTTGGGCTTTTTGGCGGCGATTCTGCTTGAGGCCATCTCGCAACTTCTTCAAAAGTGTGCAGTAGTGCTTGCTTATCATTATCCGACCATCATCAAGACAGTCGGCAATGACTATCCTACGCCAGATCCAGAACACTGATAGCATTGACCTTCCATATCGGCTTCTGCATCTTCGCCTTTCAAGAAGGACAGATGTGCCGTGCTTAAACTTCTTGATCATCTTTTTGTCTCTGAATCATACACATAGACCCAGCATTCGTCACAAGTCATCAAATGATGGAAGATGTCTTCAATTTCCTAAAAAAGGTCTAGTTTTCATTTCGAAAGGCCAAGGTGCATTTTTCTCTTGAACAAAGTAGACACACGAGCTTCTAAGCGGGCTGACTCCTTTATCGTCTATAATTCTTCGCTGATAATATTTTCAAGCACTGCCAGCATTGAGACCTTTCTGTTGCACAATCATCTGAAAGGCCACACGACGATCTGTAAGGATGAGGCCCTCCACTTCCTTCACAGTCACCACCTTGTCAGTCACTGGTAGTCACTCACTTCTTGACTTCCCTGCAAGGGCCATGCAACCAAGTGGAAAATTTTTTCTTCATTTTCGGTAAGTGCATGAGATTGGCTTTCCTGACCATAAACTAATTTCACGTTCTTGATGTATTTTCTCAGTGTGATACCGTTTCAAATGCATTAGTTGGATGACGGTTCGGTCCTCAATGGGCCCAATGCTCATCTTTTTTACTTCTAAGTCTCTCCTACATAAGATAAAACCACTTCTCAGGATTCTCTTTGCGGGAGCATTGTTCTTAAGAACCAAATAAAATACCAATCAAAAATCATTAACCCGCGCCCCACTGGGGGGGGGGGGGGCTATTTATAGCCCCCCTCCCGTTTTTCTGCAATAACTTCCAAACCGCTTGACGGATCGACGCCAAACTTTCAGTACCTTCGGCTGCATCAATTTGACACCTTGTGTCAAAATTTGAACTTCGTAGCTACCATAGGTCGGCCGGAAATGACGTCAGAGTGACGTCATGTTCGTCCGATTTCGACGGAAAACATTGAACTACGGCAATCGCTCCCAAGAGCTCAGTTTTTAAGCTAGATCCAATTTCTTTGCATGAAAGAACTCAGAATTGACCGCGCTATCAAACTGCTATCTCGGATTTTCAGAATTGTGAAAATTTCGAAAATTTTATATAATAATATTCAAAATTTATCTTTTATATTTTTTTCAAAAAGTTTTTCACTTTTCGAAAAAACCGGAATATATGTGACAGAACGCATGATTATGACTAACTCTAGCAAGTTTTAGCTAAATATCTTCAAAAATGGCCAAGTTATACGCATTATTGCAAAAAATTCACAATTATTAATTTTTCAAATCAATTTTTCAGTACGTATTTGGCATCGTACACCAATATAAATGGCACCATCGTGTTCCTGAGCTCAAACTGCATCCAATAGACACCTTTTTTGTTGAAAAATTTCAACTTCAAAATTTGACCTTTTTTGACCTGAAAGTGACCTGACCTAAGCTAAATTCGACTCAAAATGACCTCGAATAACATAGACGACATCAAATTCGAAATCTATGGCCTAAATGGACCATAAAACATGTGTCACGTGACCGACGCATGATATAATATTTTCGTGACCTGTGATGACCTGACTAGTGATGTCAATTACGGAAAATCGGAATACCGATACCAAACCAAATACAAACCAAAACCACGAGAAAATACCGAAACCAAACCAACTTGGGAAAATGAGGGAAATACCAACTTTTTACCGATTTCTTAGCCTCTTATACATTAGTGAGGGTTTATGATACCAACAAAATACCAAACACATTACGAATGAAATGCCAAATACCAAGTTGGTATCGGTTTGGTATCGGTATACCAAAAAGTTGGTATCCGATTGACATCTCTAGACCTGACCCTGACCTGAAAATCAAAGTACAAGTTTGGTACCCGCAAGGTATCTAGAGCATCTGTTCACGAGTGTGGAAACCAAAAATGAGCCTGATCTGACTTGTAAGACGGCGGCCAGAGCCCAAAATGTGAACAAGCCAAAGTGCTAATAATTTTTACTTTGACCTGACCTGTGACGTCATCGGTGACCTCGAGGTCAATGAAATTAGGTTTCGCTCGACAGTTTTTCCGGGGCTATCAGACGCCGTTTGAATTTTGACGATCGGCCCAGTAGTTTCGGAGTTAGGAGGGGGGGGGGGCTATGAATAGCCCCCCCCCCCCAGTAGGGCGTGTTATACACAGACCCCAGTGGGGCGCGGGTTAAAATCGGTCTATATCTTCTATGTGATGATCAGAACTTTTCGATACCCCTTCGTATAGTTGAACTCGATGTGTATCACATTGAGTGGTTGGTGCAATTTCATTTCAGCGCTTCGAAGTAAAATGTGTTATGCGCCAGCACGCTTAGTGTTCAAACATAATCAGTCAATGGTTTCTGTTAGCATTGTTCATGGTGTTTAGGTTATTGCTTTGTTAATAGACTTTGCGGTTCGTTCTTATACATACTATGATAATTAACAGTTAAACAACGTAAATATTCAAACCCTTTTGTTTTCAGATAATCCATGGTTGATAAGTTATCGGTGACGTGCATCCGTGTCATCCGTGCACACGAAGTCATTGTGTCAAATGCCTTTATATCAAATTGAAGCGTGGTCATGCAGGATTAAGTCGATTCAATGGATTAAGCCAGTCGATCAAATTGAATAGATTGTTGATTGAATCGTGTTCAATAGAAATTAGTTTGAGAAATCGGGAATCGCCTATCATTTCATTACAGTTCGAGGTGGAGTTGCTTCATTCAGTGTACACGATCTGTTTAATAAATTTGTTTTGTTTTCAAAATTAAAAGTCTGGCCTAACATATCTTATTCTCCAGTTATTTGGATGTCAATATTCTAAATATTTGCGATTATATGTATGTATGTCGCAATGCCCTCGAATGCGGTTGTAGTCACTTAACATTTTGCTTGCCTACAGGGTAGTTAAGCAAGTTGTAAATCGTATTCGATCCGTTACCATGTAATCGTGCCGTGTCTTGCCTGCGCTGTCCCCGTTTGTCGTAAACTACAGCCGATAACTGCAGGCCCTGACGAATGGGCGGCCGGCAGGGGACTGACCTTTCAGAATAGTTGATTTTCCGACAAAGCAGCGAATTTGTTACAGCGCATACCAAACCATCTGCATTGTAACAAGTCAGCTATTTCGCCACTTGCAGTAGGGTAACAAATAGCTGAAATATAGCCGTCCCTGAAATATATCCGTCCCCGCCCCCGTCACTGACTGATGCCGTGTCGCCACAGGGTGGTGTCGGGCCGCCGGCCACAGACACACCCGACCGTATATCCCTCCGTGACCGATACTATATGCCCCCTGACCTCCCTCACCCGTCCCTGACCGATGCCGTGTCGCCGCAGGGTGGTGTCGGACCGCTGGATCGGCGCCGAGACGCACCTGGCCGTCTCGTTCCGCCACCTGATCCTGCCCGAGAAGTACCCGCCGCCGACCGAGCTGCTCGACCTTCAGCCGCTGCCGGTGAGTGCCCAGGGCTGGGCAGAGTGCCCGTGAGTACCCGCGGATGGACAAGGTGTCCGTGAGTGCCATCAGATGGGTAGGGTGCCCGTTAGTGCCCGCGGGTGGGGAGAGCGCCCGTGAGTGCCCGCAAGTGGTTATGCTAATCGTGAGTGTCTAGGTACGGCTGTTGAGAGTATCCGTGAGTGACCGCGGGCTGGTTTTGGCTTCTGTGAGTGCCCTCGGCTGGTTTGATTGCTACTGGGTTACGCTTATTTAGGGTTCCCGTGAGCTTCCGCCCCCTGTCTAGAGCTGGTAAGGGTTCCTGGAGGCCCAATGCTTACCAGGGTGCTATTTACTGTTTTCCCTCATCCATTGGACGAATATATATTGTCTGTGGTAAACACTGGAGTGGAAGTGACTTCGGCGATGAGCTAGGATACTGGCTGACTAGGATACCCGAGCTAGGATTCAGCCCAGGGTGCCGGGACACACAGATCGACAAAAGTTCCAAGGAGTGTCTGCGTTGGACTAGGGATTTAGGAGTGCCCGCTAGACCAGAATACCAGGGAGTGCCCGGATTACCAGTATGCCGCTCGCAGTGGACGTCCAGATTAGCGCCGCCTGCGAATCCCGCCGTCCTGGAATCGCTCCCGACTTACGTCCCAGCTTTCAGCGGTTTCCGGAGCGGCGTTTGGGCGCACGGTGGTGATGGACAGTCTGGCGATTGGTGGTGCTGTGTTGGGCGCTGGCCCGGCCTTACTGGGCAATGGGCATTCTGCTGGGGAGATTGTTTCATCGTAATTTGGAGCTGTAAGGCGATTTGGCGTGTTTCAGGAACCTCCATTTAGAAGTGTTTCAATGCTTCTTGGTAAGGGAATTTACAATATTTTGAACATGACGGTAAAAAGCAGGGCGTGTGACGTCAGTTTACGAAGCCATTGCTTTTTGTTTGCTAATCTGATTATGGCACTGAGTAATGTTACAAGTAAGCCCACATGTTTTGCCTACTGGAAATGTTACTTTATCTGCTATAGGAAACCGAATATGAGGATAATATGGATGTTCTGCGAGATAGGGAATCATGGAAAACTCGGATATCTCGGCGGTGAGCTGAGTGCTGACGTGATAACTATGGATTCGTCCCGGGGCGACAGGCGCTGAACGGGCACGTGTTCACCGGTCATCATTGGGATGGGACAGCGAGTACCGGGCACTAACGTGCATGATCACAGCTACACCGACAAACGGTAAATCTCGAATTGAAATGATCAGGACGTATTTCATCGTTCACGCCTCAGCTGTCGTGTTATTTCACGACCCACTATTTGCTCTGTGGGGATAGGAGTGGGACTTTTTTGGGATAGGAGTGGGACGGTTTTTTATAGAAATTTATCAACACCACCTATGATCGGAGAGCTGAACGCGCCGTTTTGTAAAGGACGCGCGTTGACAAGTGGGACCTGTAGCACCTCTCCCCCAATAAATCACGAATAAAGAGCTTGCTACCTTTTTAATGTTGGCAGTTTAATTCAAATGCGACTTCCCGTGCCATTTTAAGTCAAGTACAGTGCATGTAGTTGCAATTTGCATCTTTGTGCATGTTAAAGACGCATTTCTATTGCATCCAATAACAGTTATGCACAACATCAGTTACCGTTAATGTTTTAACCAAGGCTAATAGAACTGGTTTTAACACGTAATGGCGCTGTATCATGATCAAATTACGTCGTTGTCCCAGATGTGATATTCTAGCAATGCATTGTCCCTCAGTCGCGTGGTTTGGCCGATGAGTCGGCGTTTACTGCTGCTGCGGTTTTCCTCGGTCGCCGCCCGGCCGCCGCAGGCTGCCTGCTCTGAGGATATATCGGGTTTACGGGTACTCTGGCACTGACGCCGACTAGCTGCGGGAGGCAGCCGATAGTTTATGTGATGAACACAGATTCTTTATGGCCGACGACGTTATTCACTCCGGTAATATAGGTGGTAAACATTGTGTGGTACGGTGATTCTTGCATGCAGTTAATATCGTTCGTAGGCTGGTATTGACGTGTTTTCAGTGCTTCAGTCGATGTTTTGATTACTTCTGTCAGACACCTTGCAATGAATCATTGCCAGGCTCTGGCACTGAATGTCGCTTACAGCTTCAGGCTTCTGATATATACCTGCTTGCCTTCGAGTATAGTGCGATAGCTCGTTTGAGGAAAGCTAACCATGTTTTTTGAAGCATTTATGATCCCAGATGTCGTTTTTTGTCGACAAATAATTATGCTAGACTAAAATCAAAATTCCGTTATATGCGTTCATTTCACTAAACATTATTTCGGATATTCTAATTTGAGAGGAGGAATGTAGGAGGTAGTTTGGAGGTATTTTCTTGGCTGCCGGCGGCTGGAGTCGATCGCTGACGCGTATCGGGGAAGATTTTATAACACGCCACGGAAAATTCTTTGGGCGAAATCACCCTACCTGTCCAGATAAGCCTACCAGTGTGTTTGCCGTATGGTATCTCATTCTTCTCGCTTTGATTAGTGATCTGTTTGGTGTTACCCTGCTGAAGCAACTTTGCTGTCACAGCTTGACTGTTACTATAGCTCGATGACTACTACACCCTATAGCAAACTGTTTTTGCCCCCTGTGTTTTCCGGCATTTCCCAGTCGCGTGCCTTGTTTCTCACCGGCGCCTACCTTTCTAGGTGAACGCGCTGCGCAACCCGGCGCTGGAGGCGCTGTACAAGGAGCAGCTGCAGCAGTTCAACCCCATCCAAACGCAGGTGTTCAACTCGGTCTACAACTCGGACGACAACGTGTTCGTCGGCGCGCCGACTGGCTCCGGTGAGTTCACGGGGGTAGTGGGAGTTCAGGGTTAGTGTGAGTCTGGGGCGGGGCGGGAAAGTGTGGCACCCGACCCCTCCCCCCCCCCACGGCTTCGGTGAGTCCACAGGTTAGCGGGAGTTCACGGGGCGTGTGAGTCCCCATGCCCTATCGACTTCGGTGAGTCCACGGGATAATGTGAGTTCGGGAGGTGGGAAGGGAGGAAGTGTGAGTTCACGGGGTAGTGAAGTCCAGGGGTAGTGTGAGCTCAGGGGATAGTGTGAGTTCACGGAGTAGTGCGATTCCAGTGGAGTAGTGTGAGTCCAAGGATGGTGTTAGAGCAGGATGTCACCCACACTGGCTCCGATGCGTTCAGAGGCAGTGTGTCACTGTGACACCCACAGTCTACACTGTTGCCGGTGAGTCAGCACACGGCGATCCGCTGCTGACCGCTCCACCGGTTCTGCACGACCCAGTGTTGGCAGAGATTAACTAAAGCCTCAGACGGTTGATAAAGCGCCCCTTGGGGCATAGGCGCTTCCGTCCTCGTCCATCCGTCGTATTATTATTGTCAGATACCTGTCAGGATACGCATCACATTGTGCCGACTGTTCCTGATCACCTTGCCGTGTTATTAGTTGCCAGTCATATGCAGTAGCCCGTCACATGGCTTGCCACCTGCTCATAGTACCCTGCCACGTGACCTGTCTCTCGTACATAAATAATAACCTGACATTACCGTCGTCTTTGAAACAAGTCACATGGCCAACCACCTGCACCGAGCAGCCTAACACGCAGCCAATCACCAGAAGTAGTCGGTCACATGGCCTATCTGCAGGCGAGCCAGACAGGGTGTTCCCCACGCCTCGCCACCCTCTCCATCTGGCGAGTTATCTTCTGTCACCTCCCGTGGGCTCGCCGCCGGCCGCCAAACTCGCGGATCCGTGTGACAGGGGAGACCCGGCGGCACTGGCGGTGCACTTTAGCGTCCCGGTGTATGCCCACGGACAGGTATTACCATCTGTGAGCCCTGGGGTGGTGATGGTTGAGACTGATTTATGATATCGAACGATCCATGGCTGCCAGGCGGCGGCTCAGCTGTGCAGAGATTGAATGTACCGAGCGTGTACAGCTGTAATAAAGGGCAGCACTGGCTCAGCGATTGTAATCAGGTCCCCTGTCGTACAACAGTACGAGCGACAGGCGGCGACCTACAGTGATTCTGGCGCCGATATTGGCAGACTGGGAAGTGTGCAGGGATGATCGTAAATGCGCAATATTGCTGGCGCTGTTGCCACGTGCACGTGTGTCTTTGTGACTGTCGATACGCCTGGTGCATGGAGCGGATGATGCATTGCTTTATTGAATGTTTTCTTCTGGAACACGGCCGAAGTCGTGTCTCCGAGTGTATTTCCCTGCCAACGGGTCGCCGTGTACCATACATATTGTTGGTATTTTTGAAAAGTTGTTTCCACGTGTAATCGTCTATATTTTCCTTATCGTAATTTGTTGTCCCGTCTCTTTCTTCTATTATCTTTATCTTTTTGATTCCGTTTATTTTCCCGTGTCCAGCTTTGTGGATGCTTTATTCCCGCCCATCATTAAATTTAAGCTTGGATTTACGACTTATTTCCGTACACTAGGTATTAACTAAACCAGTCGCGGATGGCTGATTGTTTTTTTTTTTAGGGACAAAAGTGATAGTTGAGCGAAAGTTAGCACGGTCCTGATTGAAGGGGACTGGCGGATGAGATATGGTGTCGTTGTGTCAAATGTTTGTAATGCTTATTGCTCAATTTTTGGCTATTTGCTCTATCCATCCGCTTTTCCTTGGAGCTTGAAGCTAATTGAAGCTATTCTAAGTTTTATTTGCCTATGCACAAATCCATTTGAGGGAATATATGTAGCCGGGAAATCCCCGAAAGATTCGCTGCTTTTTACGTTTTCGTGTTTATTTCATTCCTTTGATTCATCTGATGAAAACTTTCGTTACATAAAACGACATAATTCTTAGCCTGCCAAGAATTACTGAACCAGACAGAAGCAAATTATTTAAACGTTTTGTTGCAGCTGAACGACTAATGGTCAGGCCGTCGCGCAGAGCGCGCCCTGACGGCGTGCCGCAAACACTATTAGCCGGCGCCGCCGGCCCGGTCTGCCGGGAATTACTGGCCGACAAGGTGTCGGTGGAAAATAACGGCACCGTATTTTGACTTGCCTGTTGTTGTGGCGCGAAAGCTTTGGCCGTGTTTTGTGGGCTTCTTCCGAACATTGTTAAAGGCAGCCGTATAAAGATGTTAGTTCAGTTCCGCGCACTAGCGACGCCTCCCAAATACAGTCTGCAAATGACTTTTCCACGCCCATTCTCTGAAGTTGGTGTGTAGCTGTGTGTACTTGTTTGCAGCTCATGCCCTCTGTTTGAGATTCTTGTGAGTTGTGACTTCTCCTCGACTCTTCCTATCTGCTAGTTTGTGTTTACCCTGCCTCTCTCCACTGACCCTGTCCCATCCCGCGCCTACCCCCGGCCCCTGCGACCCTCTTTGAGTTGGCAATTTGCCCTTTTTAACCCAGTTATCGCGATCCTATAATCCCCACCGTCCCCACTCCCTACTCCCGTGCTCACCAGAAACCCTGTAAGCCCCTACTGACCTATCCACTTCGCGTCCCCAGGTAAGACCGTGATCGCGGAGCTGGCCATCCTGCGCCTGCTGACGACCCAGTCGGAGCCTCGCTGTGTGTATGTCACACCCAAGGACGACCTGGCCGAGGCGGTATACAACCACTGGAAGGAGAAGTTCGGCAGGCGGCTGGGCAAGAGGGTGGAGCTGCTGACCGGCGAGACGGGCACCGACCTCAAGGTGAGGAGGGAGAGGGAGAAGGGGAGGGCAGAGCGAGAGAAAAGGGAAAAGTATGCACTCAGAATTCTGTCTTCTCCCCACGACTGGAATGGTCTGGGGCCGATTCGAGATGGCGCACTAGGAAGCTAGTAGGACTAGGCGGCCAAGTGACACTTGAATGTAGTGACACTAAGCGGTTTTTTACACCAATCGGCTAGTGGCTCAGCGCGAACCGAAATCGCATAGTGACGCTTGAAATCAAGTTTCACTAGGGCCTTAGTGCGCCAACGCGAATCGGTCCCTGAGCGACATGCTTGTCCTAGTGTGACCTCAGCAGCCTTGCCTGAACTACGGTTACCTCAGCATTCCTGCCTGAATTAGGGTGACCTCAGCGATCTTACCTACCCTAGTCTGATCTCAGTGGCTTAACTTGACCCAAAATGATCGGACTCAGCTGAGCCAGTGTCGCCTTTACCTGACCTGGGGTTACCTCAGTAGCCCTGCCTGACCTAGTTAGTCTGACCTCAGACCTGACCCAGTCTGACCTCAGAAGCCCTGCCTGACCCAGTCTGACCTCAGCAGCCCCGCCCGACCCGGTTTGATCTCGGCTGAACTGGCCCCGGCCACCTGTGGCGACACGGGTTCGCCGGCGGTACATCTCGGAACCTTCCGAGTCGGGCCGATTTAATTTCCACCTCGCCGTGACTGGGGTTTTCAGCTGTGTCTGGACTTAGCGTTGTACTGAGCTGCATACGAGAGCAGATGAGTCACCCGGTTCTGAGCGGCGGGGCGCTGGAAGGGGCAGGGTACGCGACAGGTGGTGGAGTGCCATGCGCCAAGAGCCACTCAACGCCCTGGGCGGTCTCGCATTCGATGGCTACTGGTGCATTTTTGCCAAATATTGGCTCTTACAGCTGTAAATGCAGCTTATCATATCATATATTTCTTTTACACGAAAAATAATCAGCTATGCCAATTCAGACCTATTCAGACCTATATCGTGTGTACAGCGGTGTAACTTTCTATATGTATGGGGGTGCAGGTGCACCCCCATCCCCTGAAAGTGCACCCCCATCACGCCAAAGTGCACCCCCATAGGATAAGCGGCGCCCCACACGCTGCCCGACACCGATAAGCTCTTGAGCAGCAGATGGTGAGGGTGATATCCCGGCTACATTCCGTCTCGTGACCGGCGTCGTGCTGCCTGCGGGCTTGGGAAGCATCCAGTAGTATCGTTCCCCAAAAATGGGTGAAAGGGGCACCCCGGCAAGAACGGGACTTTCTCAGCAAACGTGGAGCGCCCGAGGCAGAAGTGGGGCACCTCCAACGTAGGTTGGGATCGTCCAGCATAAGACTGGCGCCCCAGCGGAGGAGAGGCGCCCCCAGTAGGAATGAGGCCCCTCAAGCAGAACTTGGATTCGCCCAGTAGAAGAGCGCCCTCAGTAGAACACGGGCGACCCCAGCAGAAAGGGGCGCCTCACCAGCAGAAGGGCGCCCTACCAGAAGAAGGGTACCCCAGCAGAAAGGGGGCGCCCAACCAGAAGAGAGATGCCTCCAGCAGAAAAGGAGCGCCCTCAACACAGGGATAGCTAGTAGCTACCCAGCAGAAAGGGGGCGCCCCACCAGAAGAGGGATGCTCCCAGAAGAAGAGAGGCACTCCAATATAAATGGGGCACCTCAAGCAAAAGTTGGGCTCGTCCAGTAGTAGTGGGGCGCCCCCAGCAGAAGAGTACCCCCAGCATAGGGCGGCCCACTAGGAGAGGGATGCCTAAAGAATAGAGGCGCCCCAATACAAAAGGGGCACCTGGAGCAAAAGTTGGGTTCGTCCAGCAGCAGTGGGGCCGGGGGCGCCCCCAGCAGAAGCGGGGCGTCCCCAGCGGCCCCAGCGGAAGTGGGGCATCCCCAGCAGAACAGGGGCTCCCCAGCCAAAGAGCAATGCCCCCAACAGACATTGCCGAGCACCTTCAGCAGAAGAGTACGCACCCGCAGAAGAGGGGCGGTTTCACCAGAAGAGGGGCGCCGCCACCAGAAGATGGGCGAGGGCGCCTCCAGCAGAAGAGGGGCAGCCCCGCAAAAGAGGGGCGCCGCCCGCAGAAGGGGGCGCATACAATGAAAATGGGACACCTCAAGCGGCAGTTGGGCTCGCCGAGTAAGAAGGGCGCCCTCAGTAGAAAAGGTCGAGCGACTTAAGCAGAAGTTGGGCTCGCCCGGCAGAACAGGGACGCCTCTAGCAAAAATAGGGCATACCCGGGAAGGGAAGTGTCAGTCTCCAGCAGAAAAGTGTGAGACCCCAGCAGAGGAGGAGCGCCCATCAGAAGTAAGTCCCGCCGAGCAGAAGAGGGGTGACCTCAGCAAGAGAGAGGCGACCCCAGCAGAAGAAAGGCGCCCAATAAAAAAGGTGATTCCAGCAAAAGTGGGTGTCACCACTCACCAGTCGCCGAGCGTAAAAAGGGCACCCCGATTCTATAAAATTTCGGAATGATAAAGCTAAATGCAATTTCGTTATAAATTTGATTGATTGATATTTGATATTCGTGCAAACGAATTTAATGTCATTTCGTAATACCCAATTTTGTACCACTGGACTCTAACATTGGGGTGTTTAGTGCTCTTACAATTAAAATTGCACATGCCCATGAAAAAATATTCATTTTATTTGAAAAGCTCTTGTACCTATAAGTAGAAGCCTTGACACCCGTTTATCGGTGCGCCGGTTAGAGGGCCTTGGGTTAATATAAATGAACTGCAATCCCATTTGCAGCATCAGACTGTGTTCAAACTAAATTGGAGGAACACAAAATGGTGATCACTCTTAAGTCTGAATTTCGAAATATACCAACAAAGCATTTTACCGAAATTGAGAGACATTAAAATGGTGATAACGACTCACTGGATCGTATTTGAATGAAACATGCTGCGTAAACAAGAATGGAACATTTAATGCTTTGAAAATTGAACGGGAACTGAAGTAATTGTTTTATCATGTATCGACAGAAACTAAGTTTCAAGTCAACCGAAATATCATCACGTTGGGGAACTTTTTTGGCTGGGGTCTGTGGTCCTTCGGCATGGAGGGCCCCAGTTTGCAGGTCGTGCCCCCCCCCCCCCGTTCAAAAATCCTGTGTGCGCGCCTGTTGAGAGATATGCACCATGTATGCTCCTTGGAAGCGCCCCTATCCTCACTGAAGGTCGCCCCCATCACCAAGTGCACCCTCATCTCAAAAGCAAAAGTTACACCCCTGCGTGTGTATCGTATGTATCTGTACTTATCTAGTGTAAATGCATGAAACTCCGGGTAAAAAAGACCTGAGTCAGTGGTTATTGATGCTTATTTTTTGTTGACATTTCTGATTATAACTTGACATTATGCTGCTTACAAGAGGAACTCATAGACGCATATTCGCAGAAAAATGCACTGGAGTATAATATAATAATGTTAATGTTTATTTCCTGGTAGGTAACGGCAATATCGCGCCTCAGCTACATACCTTTCTCAGCTGGTGTCCGCGCCAGTTGTTCGCGCTAGTCGCTATGCGGATGTTCATGCCAATGCAGAATGCCGCCATTACACACGTTTCAGCTGCACTCATGTCGGCTCTCGGGTACCTCATTCAAATCACTATCATCGTGTTACTTCTCTAGTCTCTACCTCTTGCGAGTTAGCTGTATCTCCCCTGCTGTTACTCTGCAACACCTCCCAGACGCAGTGGCCTTCAGTCCACCGCGTCTCCTTATTTGCACTACCCTCGGCTGCGTCCCACTTCCTAACTCTTGGTTCCCACCTCTCTACCGTCTACCTACCTCCTCTCCTACTACCACGGTCCTTTGTCTCTACAAACCGTCTGATTGGTCACATCTCCAACTAACTCCCCTGTGTGCCTCCCCGTCAGATGCTGGCCAAGGGCGCCATCGTGGTGTCCACGCCGGAGCGCTGGGATGTGATGTCCCGCCGGTGGAAGCAGCGCCGGAACGTGCAGGCCGTCCAGCTGTTCATCGCCGACGAGCTGCAGCTGATTGGAGGAGAGACCGGGCCCGTGCTGGAGGTCGTCTGCAGTAGGATGAGGTAAGGAAAGGGAGAAGGGTAGAGTGGAGTGGTGGAGAGGAGCTGGGGGAGCTCATTGGCAGGGAGACCGGGCCCGTGCTGGAGGTCGTCTGCAGTAGAATGAGGTAAGGGAAGGGAGGGTGGAGGGGAGTGGGGACAGCGAGGCATGAAGAACGGGATACGTGATGGGTCGGGCTGCAAAGTGAAGAGAGGAGTGGGAGTGGAGCTGGATGAGCTATGCGGAGTAATTTACTAAACGGTAAGGTAAACCGAGTGAGGGCACAACTACGGAGCTAGGGATAACGGGATGATTGTAATTCGACTACGTGAATTGGAATAAGTGAAAAGATGTTGAAGGCGATATGAGACTGAGAGAAGCGGTCCAGGGGAGGTGAGAATAGCTGACTGGTTGGGTAAAGTACAGGTCTCGCGGGTTTTAGCGGTAGGTTTTGCACCTAGAAAATTTAGTGTACTTCAGGCTATATCTTCGTCGTCTTAAGCTTTTAAAGTGTTGAAGATGCGATCGACTTGTTGGGTAACAAGCCGGCCATGATCGTGTAAAATGGCTTCATCGTAGATCGATTAGTTTCTGAGCTATAACTGGAAATGTAAAAGTGCAAAACCTACCGCTTAATCTCGCGAGAGCCGTACATACGATAGATTGACCCGAGCTGGAAGTTTTCAACACGGCGCCCGGCCTAGGACATTGTGTTTTACAGTGAAGTGTGCTGGGGCCCCCGACTCGCTGTTGCTGGATTGGGTGGCAATGCGTCATTCATCTACGAGTAGTTGCTAGCTCAATGAACAGACGGGCACCGAAAAGAATAAGCCAGCGACAGCCTTTGATGGATAAAGTGATCACAACAGGCTTAAATAATCGGACTGTAGCGCTGTTTATTTTTTCATATTGCTCATGAAAATCAAGAGACTGTTTGTGAGGAGCTAGGCCTTTTTCTGTTCTTAACTCTTCCCTAAAAATATATATAGCTCCAATGCCGAGCCCGTCGGCTGTGCGGCTATCGTCAGGTGTTTTGTTTTATCGACCCCAGCTTAGGACATAACGAGGACTGAAGACGGCCAGAGGGGAGGTTGAACTGTTTGACCGGGTGGGCGGGAGCGGACTGAAACGCCGGGCCTCTGCCAATTGGGCCGGTCTGATGCGCCGCGTGGATATAGATGTGTCTGAACCCGCTTCCCACGGCCACCCGGAACCGGACAGATCGCCTTCGGAGATTCGCCAGCGGCATTAGTCCTCGCCTCTGGCGGGCATTTGGCCGGGACGTGACCGGCGGACGAATGCCGCCCTGCCGGCCCGCCGGGGAGGGGTGGGGGGATGACCCGGGGATGGGCCGTGACCTAGTGCAGCTGTGATCTAACCGTTACCTTTAGTTAGGAAAGCCAGGGTGAGCCACGTGTTTCTCAGTAACCAGCAAAATATAATAATAGGTGCGTTTTGATATATGTTGCTGTCGATGCAGACATGCCAGCTTGTAAAGAACTAACTTTCACCACGGGCTCTTAGCATTTAGCTGACTGTGTAAAGTAAACATGTCAGTCAAGAGACCGTTTCTGCTGGCAAATAGGCTTCTGGTTGATGCTGCTGGGATACTTCCAGCTGACATTGACAGACCCATCAGGAGCTGTCTCCACCCAGTGCCTTTATACATTAGTTATTTGTCGCCAAGGTGTGACACGTCAGGCGTGGGTTATTGGACTGACGCGAGCAGCTTGTGATGGCTACGCGTGCATTTCGTTCTGACGCCATCC